GGGTTTTTGTTTTGTTACTTTTGGTTTTGTTTTCCTGGGTGGGCAGTTGTGGTTGACAGTGGGTGGAGAAGACAGACGGAGTTGGTCCAGTGGGGAAGATCTGGGATGACTCGGGAGAGAAAGATTATTATCAAAACATGAAAATTTTAAATAAACCGATTTTTTAGAAGAATGTAGAAGTTACAACAGAAAGAAAGAAAAAGATCTGTAAGAGAAAAGAAACTCAGAAGAATGAAGCCGAGTCTAAGCACCGGGTTTCCTTTTGAAGTATTATTGATAACCCTTCCCAGAGACTATAACTTGTAGTGAGGACAAATCGAAGATGAGTAAGTCCGAGCCTTGTAGAGGTTGCCGGTCAGCATGGACCACTGTGTGGTTGGCTTGAGGAATCCTCCTCACTTGCTGTTTGCTGCCTGCAGGGGAACCACTGAGTCCTTTCTAGAAGGAGGGAACTCATACTATTAACGTTTCCATTCGTAGTGTGAAGAATTCAATAAATGTTCCCAGGCATCTCAGAAACAGACTACAGGGGAAACAAGAAAGCAGGAGAGCCGAAGGGGCTAAGATCCTGGAGTCTCAGATGTGTTTAAATTGCTGCCGTTGGCCCATTCAAGAAAATAGTTGACATGGCAGAGAATCTTGTTGGGAAATTGGGATCTATTAAAAATAAGTGATTTGAGATTAAAAATAATCCCAAAGTTAAGAACTTCAACAAACTGCTTTACTAGCACATTAGACAATGTCAGGGAAAGTGGGCTCTAATTGAGCTCATCAGGAAGGTCTGGGTCAAGTCCCAGCAGACATAGCTTAGTATGAAAAGATGATAGATACAGAAAAGAGAACAAAAGCCAAGTGGCTCATGCTGGCCCTTTGAAGAGATATGAGAGGGCAAATGTCTGGAGACAATGTGAAAAAATAGGGGCTGAGCCCATGAAAGACATGAAGCACTTCAGTCGATCCTCCAAACCCGAGAAAGTTCATACCTGCCCCTGCCAAAGTAAAACTGCCAAAAAAGAAAATGACATGCAATATTTTAATCTTCTGAAAGGAAAAATCAGGTGATTTTTGTTTTCAAAGAAACAGCCATATAAGCATATCATCAAAATTCTGGTCAATAGCAGACCTTTTAAAATAGTGTTTTCTCCTTGGGTTTGGAGCATCACAACACCCACCATCACCACTGACTTTAGTTGACCGACTTTAGTCAACGATAGAATTTAGCCAACTCAGTATGGAAAGGGAAAATCAAGTATAGAAGAAAAGTTTGAGGTAAAAATGATGTTTTGTGGTAGAGAACCTAATTGCATTTTGGATAGGAAATTCTGCGACTCAGGGATCATATTATTATAGTTATTAAACAACCAAAATGAAGTCTCTGTTTATAAGGCCAGTATTTTAAAAAACAATCTTATCTTATATCCCACCAGTGAGAAAACAGTAAATAAAGATTTTTTATGAAAAAGTCAAACCCACCAGATATTTAGAAATAAATCTATCAGAATATGTTCAGGACCTACACTCAAAAAAGTACTAAAACAAGCAAAAGATTATCTTAACATGTTCTAGATTAGCAGATAAAGTATTATAAAGACATCAGCCCTAGACATGTCTGTAGATCTAACCAAATTGTGAAAGTAATTGCAGGAACATAGCAGACAGACAGAGATGAGAGAAGGGGGAGGAAGAGAATATGGGAGGATAGGATTGAATTTATGTAGAAACGCAAAGAAAAGCCATCTTGGGGGAAAAACAGCTGAAAAACAAATTAGATATTAAAACTTAAAAATCATAAGCCAGAATAGGCATGGGCTTATTTCTGTTTTGTGGTTTTGTTTAATTGTTGTGGAGTTTTATGTTTCTTGTTGCTGTGTTTTTGAGGCAGAGTTGCAGTGTGTAGCCCCAACTCATAACTATGGCAGTCCTTCTGCCCCTGTCTTCTTAGTTCTGGGCTTACCGACATGTGCCATCATACCCAGTTTCCCATCTGAAAAGCCGGCATTATACCAGTTCCTACACATAAATTTTAAATATTACAGCAGGAGGATTTAGATGTTATAGTAAAGAGGTGCACGCATGTACTCACATACACACACACAAACACATATACACACATTGTGTCTTACTGTATTTAGCTACACATGTGCACGCACGCGCACACACACGTGTCTTAATGTATTTAGCTAGAATCACTAATAACACTGTACTTCTTATAATTGTTATAATTTTTACAACTAGTATTTTTATTCTTTTTATCTGTTTAATATAATCATCTAAAGGCAGGGATGTTTGGACATCAAACCTGGGGCCAACACGGTAGGGCAAGCAAGTGCCAGTTCTTAACCTACACACCCAAAATAACATGAACACACATGCTAAGTACTTATGACTTGGTTAAGATGAACATGGCATACGGAATGGAATTTAGCTTGGCCTTGTTATGCTCTGCACATACAACTGTAAGAAATTAGTTAACATTTACTAAGCATCAAACATGGAATTGTGTGTGGGCACATACATATCTGTTGAATATTTGAGAGCCTGTGTAAATACGCAACTGTTTGCAAAAGCACCATGTAGACAGGCTAGGGAGATGGCTCAGTCAGTAAAGTGCCTGCCATGCGTGCATGAAGACTTGCGTTTGGGACTCAGCAGTCATGTGCAAAGCCATGCTTAGAGGTAAACACTTGTGATGACATCAGTGGGGAGACAGGGGGATCCCTAAGTGTGTTATCCAACCAGCCTCACCTAATGGACAAGCTGTGGGTCCCAGTGAGAGACCCTGTCCCTAAAAACAAGGTAAATGACTTCTGGGGAACAATGAAGGCTGATTTCCACCCTCTGCATGCATGTGTACACTCATGCGCCTGCACAAATGCACACTAAAGAGTGATTTAAACAAAGATTTTTGTAGGCTATATAGAAACGAATTAGTGTTCTTGTATCTGAATTGTAGCTAGAAGTATGAATTTAAGACAGAAACATGGAAAGGTTAAACCCCATGGTATGAAAACATTTTTCATGATGTCATTGGATGAGACTAGAAGTTTATTTTTTAACCTGTGTGAATAGCATCAGTATTTCTTAGGATTGGAGATGGTGATAGACTTCATTTCCCTTCATGCTTGCAAAAACAAGAATGCATCCTCATTCACAAATCAAGATGCTGCCCTACAGAGGCCTGTAATTCTCCCAAACTCAGAACTGTTATTGCAGCTACTTTGTATCTTCAGCCTTTTGACACACCAGCCTTCCTGGCATGTGCCTTCTTTCTTCCTCTTCCACACTCTCTGTCTTTCTTGGGTGACCATACGCTAAAACTGCCTCTAAGATATGTCAACTGGCTGGCATAGGGTTGCATTCAATCAGTTACTCTACTGCTTCAACTTGGATGACTTTAGATGTGGTACTTATCTGCCCCCTCACCGCCCCTGCCCCATCTAATAAGATGAGAGTATCAAGGACTAAACAAGATGATGAAATTAACACTCTCTGGTCAGGCTTCATTACACTAGAGGTTGCACAGCTGCTTGTTCACACCTAAGGTCACGCAGGCTCTCACCCAAGTCTTTTGTCCCCAAACCTCAGGTCTTCCTTAACATACTAATTGCAGTTTTGTACGTAAATGCCATAATTGAATCAGTCTTCCCAACTCCATCTAGACAGTCCAGCTGGGGTGCAATGTGGAGGAGCCAGTAGAGGGTGCCTTTGCCCTGTGCTTTTCTGTGCTTGGCCTCGGGGAAGCCTCCCATCAAGGCTCTCCTCTTGGGAGGGAGGAACAGTGATGCTCCCTTGGCCTTGAGACCTGCTTGTGTCACCTTGCCATAGGAAGGGCAAGCTGCTATATCAGGCCGAGTAAGGAATGGCTATCTACTGGGGCTTCCTTCTCCTGAGTTTCCCACTGTTTGTTCCTCTCATCAGGTAGATGCTCAGACATCTTTCAGGTGCAGCCCTACAGCTGCACGGTGTCTACTTTCTGATTTTTTGATGCTAAAGAGTAAGCATGGGCTTCGTGCTGACTCTACTTGAGCCTCTACTGACTGAACTACATCCGGCCCCGTGGTCCATTACTGTAACAAAATACCTGAGTACATACAGAAAAGTTTGTTTGGCTCAGTTGGGGAGGCTGAAAATCCAAACAGCATGGTACAGGCTCTGGTCATGGTCTCCTGGTTACATTATGTCAATGTGGATAGCATCACAGCAGGATAGATAAAGAGGCTGCTTCTTACATTATATGTCACCTGGGCAGAGTCACCAGGGTACGGAGAATGGCTGGGTCTACTCTTCTTACTCATTCAGGAGAACTGTGGTCTAATGAGAATTGCAACAATTCCTTCTGAGGACAGTGCCTACAGTGACCACCCCCCCTTGAAGGTTTTATTACTCCCTAACATTACTACTGAGGACCAAGCTTCCAACACTTGGAGCCTTGAATTCAAGCCACAATTAAACCATAGCAGTTTCCTATGAACTATGAATCTATATCATGTTCCGTATTCTCAAAATGCATCAAAATGGCTCCAACATGGATTTCTCAACATATTGCCCTTGGTTGTATTCCTCAAGTATTGATAGTCCCTTCTTCCATAGCCTTGCTCTGCGTCAGCACTGCAGTCTGATTGGATGGGAAAGAAACCCTTACCTCTTGTAGAGCTGTGTGTCACTTCATCAATACTGGTTGGCAAGATTTTCCAGAACAAACTTGATAGGGACAATTCATCCACCCACGCAGGTCCTCCTGTTAATAACTGGGCAGGGCCATTGGCTCTACAAATAAATACCTCCCTCAAAGTTCTGAGAGAGATTGTGAGAGAGCCACATTCCCTGTCATCTCCTCTGCTCCCTGTCTGACCCTCTGCAGGAAGGCATGATGTTGAAGGACTTTCTGAATAAGATAAGAGATGTGGGCAGAAATCCTTTGAGTCAGGAAAAACAGAAAACTGAATCTGGAGAAGACATCTATCATCCTAATAAAATGAAGCCCGTGGTTTGCATTCCAGGTCCTTCAACTTTTCTATGGGAGTGCGGGCGTTCTCCCATGACAGTATTTTTATCCCTGATGGGGGAGCAGAAAATGAGCAGACAGTTCAAGCAATGTCACAGGACAACATCCTGGGCAAAGTCAAAACTCTTCAGGTAAGACAGCTTGAGACAACTGGAAGCTCAGTGCCAGAGGAGCCCCACCCCACCCTCGGGAGGGTTGGTCCGTGGGGTGCGGGGTGCAGGGGAGAAGCTTGAGTCCTGGGATCACTCAGTTTCCTGTGAGAGGCACACTCAACACTGCTATGCCCACCCACCCTGCTTGCCTTCTCACCTCCCCGCTCCAGTTGTTGATTTCCTGTGTGACTGAACATGAGAACAAGTTCCTAAGACAAGCTATTGGGCTCGCAAGTGGGGGAAAGAGCTCCTAACCATTAAGTTACCCGAGCTGCCGTCAATGTGCACCTTCTATCGTGTGAGTCTCAAGACTATTGTGCCTATAAATGAAGCTTCCAGTCACCCTGTCTTAGGAAGAACCTTGCCAACTCCCTTTCAACCTGCTGTGGGGGCAGTTTTCTTACCAAATGTTGACTCAGCTCCCTAACAATGAAAATGTAGTAAAACAGTAAGTACTGTATTAAATGTGGTTAAAGCAGTGGGCCCAGGAAAAGTAAAAGGAACAATGACTAAGGAGTCTCATTATATAGGGTTGTCCCTTTGCCTGGAAGCATTTCCCTCACCAGGAAGCAATGCCAAGGCAAGCATTTCTCTGAGATGGGAGTGTTTGGGGACTTTGTAGACTTTGAACAGAGGGCTCCGAGCTGCTGAGTCCCATCTGACTGTAAATCTACAACAGTGAATGGATGATAAGAAAATGAGCGACCAGAGCTGGGCGTGGTGGTGCACGCCTTTGATCCCAAAGAACTCTGTGGTTCAAGGCTAGCCTGGTCTAAGGAGCTAGTTTCAGGACAACCAGGGCAACACAGAAAAACCTGTCTCAAAAACCAAGAAGAAAAAAGCAAGGAAAAAAGCAATTGTGACCTGAGAAATGATTGGTACAAAGAAGCCTTATACTCTAAGGTAACTTTCCTACTCTTTTCACACGGTCTTGTTTCTACTGAGCACAGGCTGTATATTTTATGACCTGTGTTCATACAGGCAATGGAAAGTGATATAGGATAAACCAGGAAGTAATCAATACCCTGGAACCACACCCATGCTTGCCTAGATCCTGATGCCTACAGCCACCACTGGCTAAGGCCACATTCCTCCCAGACAGCCTGCCCAGCCTGACTTGCAAATCCCAGCACTTCCTAGCCAGACTCCTCCTCTCTGTTCCTGCAGGCTGTGCTCTTACATTTGTAGACCCTGAAGAAGCAAGCTGTCACTTTTCACAAGTTGAAGAGGGAGCACAGGAATAGCCAGGGAGTACTTCAACCTACTTCCCTCTGCCAATTCTGAGCCCCTGGCTTAGCATATCTCTTTTTCTAAAAGGAATGGTATGCAGAAATCACTCCATGAAACAGCTGCATTTTACAGGAGCATAGAGATTCTTTGAAAGGCAGGTAATGGCCTGCGGCCTTCAACAGTATCTGTTCTGCCACATTCGAAGCACACCACTCTCACCTTAAAAGCGGGCTTAAGAGTGCATGTAATTGTGCAGTAATGAGAAAAAATAAAAACTTAATCTGATGTAATAATAAAACGTGAAACCGTCCACTTCCCTGAAGTGACAGTATGATTTATGCAGCGGGAGAGGGGGGCAGAGCAAAATGAATATTGAGTGTGAGCGGTCTCCTTCTGTCTGCTGAATTGTGCTCCTGCTATTGGACTTGGAATCTTCCTTTGATCCCTATAGTGATTACTTTGGGGCTTTCAGAGGCTTTGCTCTTCAAGGTGGAAAATGGGGACCATGGCCAGAGCAAAGGGGATTTTTATTTTTAAGTGACCAAAGGTTTAACTGAATCACTCCCAAAAGACTATGCTTTATTTTTCAGTCGACTAAGCAGTATGTTCCTGGTAAGTCCCCCAAATCTAGTGACTTCATACACTTGCATGGGTGCTTTGCATTTTCCCACCACAACGTTGTGTGGCTGCTCATTCTCAGTAAGAAGCAAACAAGACCGCCCGCCTCCGCGTAGACTCCAGCATGGAATGAGAGGGTTCAGCTGTGTCCGAGGCATGTGTGTTTTTATGTCTTGAATTGTCATTGCGTACACGTCTATGTTCTTTTATTTGTTTGTTTGTTTGTTTTGGTTTTGAGAAAGGGAATGGATAACACCTATTTGACAGTGAATGTCCTGGATAGACGATTAGCCACAATTATTTAAATATTCCTTTGTAATGAAATTTCTCTGGACTATCATTTAACCAAGAGAGAAAAAGAAAATGGTTTAAGAAGCCATCCAGCATTTACTTAAAGCTCATGAACACGGGTGGAAAGGTGTTTGTATTTGGAAAGGTTGTCCCCTAGTGGCCACTTGTGTCATAGCACCTAGAACTGCCATGGTGCACCCACAGGACTTAACACAGGAACACAGCACAGTTGCCCTTCCCTGTCTTAAATAATGTCATTATATCATGGCAAAATCTCCGTAGCAAACTAGTGAGCTTTTTAAAAGAACAAGAACACATTCTTTCCGACTATAAAAATGTGCACTGCGACAGCAAATTTTAATAAACAGTTCTAGAGATTAAAACAATAGTGTCCCTTTTGAAGGCTCCGTACATAAGCCAGTAGGATGAATACCACTTGAGTGACAGAACACAGAGCAATGAATGCCACCATATGTTCGTGTGGCCTTGGCCGAGTAGTTATTTAATCTCTGTGACTCTCACTTCCCCCATCTGAACAATAAGGGGCCACAGTGCTGGGCCAGCCTGAAGGGTCCTCCAGGGCTTAAAGTCCGGAGTCTGTATGAAGACACTGTTCATTGCTGCACATGGTGGCTGTAAAAACTTTGCACTTGGTTATATTTGTGCTAAAATGACCTTGACATTACCCATAGCTTACCCTGGAAGCTCAGATCAGGAGAGCACCTCTCTACTTAAGGTCAGATGCAGCTGTGAAGTATGTACCCACTGCTGACAAAACTAGGAAGGAGCCCATCTATACCTGCAGGTGATTTCTATAATTGTACCACCCTTTTGTTAGGAAATGTCAAGGTTATTTGTGCCACAGATTATTTGGCCATAGGTGTAGGTGCCAGCCTCGACCCATAGTCGCTAATATCTCCTACTGAGCTGGTCTTCACTTGAGAATTCCAAAATCCTACATTTGAGGATTTTGACAGCCACTGAGGGCAGAAAGAGAAGTACCTGCTCTTAACCAGCTCTTCCTAGAGCAGGTGTCTAAATCCCTATGCTTTATTTTTTTTTTCAAATTCACTTTTTGTGATGGGAGTATCTGCAGTTTGCTAAAGAAGACAGCACCTTTTCCTGTCTCTGCAGTTTGCTCTTACAGACATGGTTTGAAAAAAAAAATGGCTGGAGGAAAAAAAATCTAGGAATTCTAGATACAGGCAGTGCAAAAAGCTGCAGAATACAGTGTGCTTGGCATTTCCATAGCACAGCATCCAGCCTCATAAATATGGATGTGAATTCCTGTCACATCCTTCCCAAGCATCCCATATTACAACAAAATGGCCCAAACTGGATGAGTAAAATATAGTTCCTCTTAGCTCACATTCCAGCCACAACAGTAGCTCCATTCATAGCTGCCAGCAACACACGCCATCGGTATATGGACTGATTTCCACGTTCCTCTCCAGTTATAACTGACGCGTGCAAAGGCAGAGCTTGTGGGGGAGGCAGACTTTGGGGCCAGCTTATAACAGCCTAATTTTCAGTAATTGCTCGCTTCTATTGTGGGTCCTCTCACGACAATGCCTGACCAGTGAGCAAATGAAATCAATAATAAAAAGAATTTATTCACATAGAGCTCAGGCCACACCTCACATCGCCAGACAGATTTTTAGCAGTAATCTTTTAGTTGTCAGTACATCTAACAAAATGTCACAGCAGTCCAGTCTCCTTTGAGTCACATAAAGGTTTGGAGAAGGGACCTGTGGAGAAGGGAGTGAGTCAGGGTGTGAGAAGATGGGTCCTTAAACACCAGTGGCTCGACCACGTAGAGCATTGGGCTTCAAGTCCTGCCACAGCTTTGGCCCACAGGCTCTTGTCTGAAAGCCACAGGACACTCCTTTATCTGGACACAGAGACCAGCCCTATTCCCAGTCTCAATATTCCCCTTCTGCCCCTAAGTTCCTCCCCCTCAGCTCCCCAGCCACTAGCTAGTTTTCTCTAGGGCATTTCAAATTGGCTTATATCCTAATGAGCACTCTTTTGTTGTCAGTAGCAACTGCATTGTTTGTGTTGTCAGGATGCACATGTCTGTGACATAAATCAACCCTTTGGCATGATCACACACTCCCCCTCCCTCTGCCCTCTTCCCCTGCTGTGTCCTGCAGGTCCCCAGCTGGTGCATCCACTGTCCTGGGCCTTTCTCCCCCTTCTTTCCTCCCTGTCCCTCGCTTCCCACTTCATGTCTCAGTGCTCCTCTGCCCCTTTCCCAAATTGATTCTACACACTGACCCTGTCCTTAGCCATCAACCGCTTCCTTTGCGTTCCCCTTCCTTTCCGTCTGTAGACACAACAATCATCCCATCGATGGACTTCGTTTCTTTCCGTCTCGGCTGTGATGTTGGCCGCAGTCTTTCTTGTCCCTTAAGTATCAGGATGAGCCAACAACAGTACTCTGGTCAAATAAAGTGACCCTGCTTGTGCCTTTTGTGATGGTGGCAAAACTCGTAATTAAGTGGCAACACAGTGTTGTGCCAGGAAGTGCAATTATGGGTGTCCTTTGCCTTGCAGGTATAAGAAATGGCTTTCATCTCCATTGGTCAATGGACACATTACAGTTAGGAGGACTACAGTGTTCTATAGCACAGTAGGGTAGCTATGGTTAATAATTTATAGTACATTTCAGGCTAGAGTAGAGAACTTTGAACATTCCGAACACAAAGAAGTGAAAAATGTGTGAGGTGATGGATATGCCGATCACCCTGGGATGATTATTATGTATGATACACATCTATCAAAACCTCACAATAATCCACAAATATGGACAGCTACTATTCATCAATTGACGTGGCAAATGCCCATAATTTCCATTCTGGGGGGGGGGGATGCAGGCAGGAGGATCGAGAGTCCGAGGCCAGCTATGTAGCAAGATGCTGTCTCAGAAGGGAAAGGAAGATTCCCCTTACCTGCCTCCCATCCCAGAGCACAGGCAACAAAAAACCCTGCCAGTGGGAGTCTCCCCAGTCCACTGAGATTTAAGGCAGTCTCAGCTCATGGCCAACACTCCTAAGGAACGTTGGAGTGGGAGGCCACGGGAAGCACCCCACCCCCTCTACCCAGATCCCCACCCTCTGCTCCCAGGCCTGTGGCTGTGACTTGGTGTCCTCCTGTCTAACTCCATTGGCTGTTGTCAGTGTGTTGCTTCTTGACCTGCTTAGAGTACATACTAACTGCCGCTTCCTGCTCGACTTGTTTTCAGAGGACACCCTTTTCCAGCAACCTGCAAACCTCTCGGGCTGCTGAAGGTCTCCTTCCCTGGCTGAACGGGGGCTTTGGGTGTGCATTCTTCCTGTGAGGCCAAGAGCCCCATGCAGGCTGAAATCACAGCAGACCAAGCGCAAAGCCCTTGCACCCGACTTGGCATGCTGGGTGGCTGAGGGTGGGGTGCGCTGCACAAAGAGGGGAGACTTGGGGGCTCATCTCTGTCATGCATCTGCAGCCTTACTGCTTCTGGGCAAGGCTGGGGTGGGGAACAAGCTGGGTGAAGGTGGGTGGACTTGGTCCCATTGAGTTCTAAGGGAAGAGGAGACAGTTCCCTCAAGGGATTCTTTTGCCGAGGATCTTTAGAGAAATAGTAAATCTCTTTATGTAACTGTCCCTGCGAGAAGGGAGTATACCATCAAATTTATGAGCACTGGTGTAAAGTACAATGATCATAACTCTGGATGTCATTTTAAAAGACCCTGGCTCAGATTCCTTTGGGGCCACTCAGCCTTCCCATGAGCTTGGGCCAGTCACCTCTCCCCACAGGAGCCTGGACTTTGTTTTGCAGAGTGACTGGGTTTGTCTTAGTTTGGTTTCCTGTTCCTGTAATTAAAGCCCTGACCAAAGGCAACTTGGGAGAAAAGGGTTTGTTCCATCAAAACAGGATACAGTCCATCATTGAAGGAAGCCCCCGGTAGCAACGCAAAGCAGAAACTGGAGACCATGGAGGAAGGCAGATTAGTGGCTCACATTCACCTACCCTTCCCATACAACCCAGAACCACCTGCCCAGGGGTGGCTCCACCCACAGTGGCCCGGACACTCCTCCATCCATTAACAATTAAGAAAAAACGCTCCACAGATAGGTCCACGGGCCCTTCTGATGGAGAGAGTTTTTCAGTTGAAGTTCTCTCTTCCTGGTGCCTCTAGTTTATGTCAAGTTCAGCACAGGGCTGGAGCAGTTGATTGCTAAACCTCTTATTGGAAGCTCCATTGGATTAACTATTACCAGATTCAAGGTAGATAAATATCAAACTGTACTATGTTGAAACCATATAGCTCTAGAACAGCAGTTCTCAGCTGGGGGCAGATTACCCCCAGGAGTAACTGGGCAACATCTGTAGTCAGTTTCCCTTTTGTAATCTGGATCCTTACCCAATCTTTCCTGCTAATTATTGTTTACAGCCCACTTCTCCCCTTCCTTCAGGTGCCCTTCTAGCTGCCACCTGCCAGTCATCGGTCCTTGTTTAACCCTTTCTCCTCCCTGCCCCCACCCCAGGCTCCTTGTGGCCCCTCTTTCATGAAAAGTAATTGTAGCAAAGAAAGAAAGTTGGATCATTCCCATCCCTGGTTTGATTTCAACATTCATCAAGGAAAGTCTTGCTGACCCTGGGACCTTCTTCACCTCTTCACACCTTCTTCACCTGTGACCCACTGTGTCCAGAGCAGGTGGTTTTGACATGGGGAATCACAAGCTAGGCGAAGATATATAAAGATTCACAGAGAACATAAGTCAGAAGGGACTAGTGAGTTCAATGTTGCACCCACCCCAAGAGTCTTCATTTCTCCCCATGGTTCCTACATTTCTGTATAATTTCTTCATGCGTTAAAAACCTTACATAGATGGATCAAAAAAATTAAAAACACGTATCTTCAACCTTGATTCAGAAACACGGTCCCTGAACCTACCCAAAGCTGTCATCATTTCCATCCAAGAGGTGGCTGGAGTTTTAAAGGCTTATGGCTCAGAAGATGCTAATAAAGTGGACTTGCTGAAGGGTTGCATCAAGGTCCCTTGGCATGACAGGGTCTCTGGAAGGCGGCTGGGCATGACTCTCCCCGGGGAACCTGGTCACAGCTGTGGAGACTGCTTGGCTGTTTCAGAATGTCTTCCCCTTGTTTCTCCCCAGCGACAGTTGGGCAAGAATATCAAGTTTGGGCAGCGGCCGTCTAATGCCATTCCCATGAAGAAGGCAGGCAGTGTTGACGCTAGCTCCGATGAGGACTTCTTCCTGACCAGTCCCATGGAAATTGTGACTCAGCAGGACATTGTCCTCTCAGACACAGAGAACAAAGTAAGTCTCCTCCAGGGGGCAACTGGATTCTGATAAGCCAGAGATCAGGGTGAGGACCAGGGGACAGTGGCCTATAGTGGGGGAGTGTGTGTGGGGGTTAAGTTGAGGAGAAGCTTTTCTTGTGTTTAACCTATGACCCGAGGGTACCGAGGACCAGTGGGAAAGATGGAGAGGAGAAAGGCACAGGCCCTCTGTAGATGCCCTTGCCCAACACCTTGTGCACATCCTTCCAGGCTTGGGTGGCCAAGGTGACTCTGGGAGATCTTGCCTGGCCCCACCCCAAAGCTGCATTGTCTCCTCCGTAATTTCAAGTTCATATCCCCCATCTGCATCTGTTTGCATAAAGTTGTTTCCTCCCCATCTCTAAATGTTAGCTTTCTTAAAGCTGAAACTGCGTCTTACACATCTCTTGTCTCCTCGGGACTTGGAGGCTGCCAGCTGAGTAGCACTGGCTAATTATTTGTCAAATTGGACTCATTTAAGAGAGATGGCAGAGAAAGCAGGGGTGGGGGTGGGGTGTCCAGTGAGAGTGCCTCACATAGGCCAGCTTAATGCCCCTCAGCTGGAAAGAAAGTCACATTCCATCCAGCAGCTGACTCTCCAAATGTGGCGTATTGACACTTTCCAGGAAACACTTGAATAGATCCAGAATTCTGAGGTCTTCCAGCAGCACAGCAGAAGCCTTTGTATAGGGGAAAAGGCTCAAAAGCCCTCTGAATAGTCTGGGGTTCCCTAGTGACAAGTGGATGTTGAATCTTTCTTAGAGCTTTTTCCACACTTTGCCTACCACAATTCCAGAATCTGGGTGTTTGCTATTCAAACGGGCATAGCTGTTATCGGCTAATTATGTCAGAAGAGTGGACATCAAGGCAAGCTGGTAGCAGTGAAAAGGGACAGTCCATCTTGCTGTCACCTCCGCTGGGGCCTGGCCATTATGACTTCTGGCACCCACATGTTGACACATGGATGGTGGATGAAGCAGGAAACAGTGGTCCTTGCTCTTGGATTTTAAAATGCTCTCCCCCATCTGTCCAGTATCAGGCAGCAGCCATCGCTCTAACACAGGGAATTCATGAGGCCTGAGGGATGGCCCTGATAATTTTTTGGCGCAGAAGTGCTGTGGCCTCAGGGAAGAGGGAGGCTCTTTGTTCAGCAGACCTTGTCTTAGCTGTGGGTGTTACAGAGATGAGCAAGATTTATCACGGGAGGGCCTCTGGTAGTTTATATCCTAATGAGAGGGTGTCACCGAGCACACAAGTCAGCACGCAGGTAAAGATAACCGATTCCCATCAGGCAAAATGCTGCCTGCCAAGAATAAGACAGTAAATAACTGTGGGAGAGAGGCTGCATCCTCAGAGGTGGGCTTGGGAACAGACCAAGGGGTGATAAGATGGAAGAATGTTCTAGGCACAGGAATGAGCCAGAACAAAGATCAAAGAGAGCATGCTGATCTTTAAAAGAAGCCCCGGGAGGAAGCTGGTCAGGTGTGGCCGGATGGGCACTGGGGGAGGCAGATGCCAAGGCCAGATGCTGGAAACCATGAAAGGGAAACTCCAGTTTTGAATTCTGAGTAATAGTGAGTAAGGAAGGGTCTGGAGCTGACTTGTGTTCTTTTAAATTTATCCATGTGTGCATGTGTGTGCAGGTGAACCTTCGTGGTTACAGGAGAGCAGATGCCCCCCTCTGGAGCAAGGGGCCACCCTGATCAGGCATAGACGGTGCTGGTTATTTGCTTGCGCTTCCTGTCCCCACGTTTAACCCAAATGCTCTCTTTTCTGTCCCAGTCCAGTGATACGCCAAGTTCCTCCAGCCCTCTGAATCTACCTGAAGCCGGGAGTGAGATGGAAGAGAAGGTAATAGGGATCTTTTCATTTGGCCTCTTTCCTTTTTTGTTACAAACCGCTGCTTCATCTGTTCATAAACCAGAGCAACCAGGGGTAGAGGTTAAAGCATCCATTTCCATGGCAACACAACCGCTAGACTCGAGCCCTGCTCTGAAGAATAGCCATGCTCCCATAATGCCTAGGGAGTTTTAGACAGTGATAGCTTCCCTAAATACAAATGGATCGTGCACTTCAAGGCATTGTTCATCTGTTGAGAAAGACATTCTGGAATGTCTGCAGGCTCTCAAGACTATGAGGTACAAATGTAAGGGACAAACCCAAGCCCAATCTTACTTTCTGTACTTTTACTCTCTCTCTCTCTCTCTCTCTCTCTCTCTCTCTCTCTCTCTCTCTCTGTCTCTCAGAGTCCTATTCCATCGCTGTTGGTGTTCTCTGGAGGCAGTAGGGTCTTCTCACTGAAACAGGAATCTTTCTGTCTCTGCCCTCCACAGTGTTGGGGTAACGGGTACATGAATGGTCATGCTCTGCCTTTTATATGGTGGGTGGGACCTGAACTCAGAGCTTCATGCTTGCCCTTACTTACAAATCATTTTCATCCCCCATGCCCCTGGGATTTTACCTTCAATAAAGAGTCTAGATCCTTTGCCTCAAGTATGTATGTGTCCTGTAGGGACTAAGTTTCTCTGATGAGAATTCTCGTCTCTACATGGGGCAGGCCTTCTCTGAAGAAACTGAAGGATGTGACAGTGACCAGCTTGTACCCGTGAGGGGTGGCTCTGGACAGTACCACTATCCAGACAGAAATGAGGCTGGGTGGGGATAGCTACAAACAAAGCCTGGGGCTGAAATCTGAGCTTTGAGTGCCCCTCCCCCTCCCTGTCTTCAGTTCATCACATGGGCTCTGTTATTCCCCCAGGTATCTTAGGGAATGGAAATAAATGCTTAATTCTCCTCATAATTCTATATCTGTTATAAGAATGACCATAAGCAATTAAAAGCTACAAGGCCAAAGGCTGGAAATATTTGTTCTCTACTTCTTAATTCACACATTCATGTGTACTAAGTAGTTTTTGTTGATTATAATTGTGTACTGCTTTGGTCTTTTATCTTTTGTGGATAAATATGGAAGGTAATTGCAAAAATGCAAGCCCTTTGCGTGCAAGCCCCACAGACTTTACAGGCACAGTGCAAACAGTCCAGAAGTCCAGCCCTGTCCAGCGCCGTCCAGCGCCGGCCTTTGTGCACAATGCAACCTTGACACTGAGTGGGTTGTGAGCGCCCCCTGCTGCACATTGGCATGGGTGCACTTTGCTGTCTAAACTCTCTAAGTCACAGGTGGCTTCCCACCATCATTCAGTGTGTCCTCTGACAGAGGCTTCTCTGAACGTGTGCAATTTGTCTAAAGTTTTGGTCTTTTAAAAAAAAAGATTTATTTTTTTATTTTTTATTTTTGTTTATGAGTGTTTTGCCTGCATGTATGTATTCACACCACAAGTATGCCTGGTGCCCGTGGAGGTCAAGAGAGACTACCGGATCCCCTGGAACTGGATTATAGATAGTTTTGAGCCACCATGTGGGTGCCGGGAAGTAAACCCGGATCCTGTGTATGAGCAACACCTGTTCTTTACTGATGAGCCACCTCTCTAGCCTCTTAAATTACTTTTTGAGACAAGAGTCTCATGTAGTCCAGGGAAGCCTCAAATGCACTGTGTGGCCAAGGATGATCTTCCTGTTTCTCCTGTCTCTAGCCCCCAAGTACTAAGATTACAAGTGTGTGTCCCATGCTGGGGTGGGAGGTGGTCTCTTAGTGAATGTGTCTTTATTCCAGAGCTACAGCCTATTCCAGTTTCCTTTGGGGAAGGACACTTATGCCACCTGGCTATTTATTTTTTTTACCAGAGCACTTTGGTAGCTTTTCAATGTACTAAGCATTCTATGATTTTTGAGTGATCGTGTCAAAATGTTTAAAAAATTTTAACAATATTTTATTTGTATTCTTTGACAATGACATACTTGATTGCATATTTTGATTACATCCATCCCCTCTCTTTCCTTCTCTCCTCCCAGGCCCTCTCTCATCACACCCCCTTCTACTTTATGCCCTCGTTTAAAAACAACTCACTGAGTCTTACTAGAACCACCTGCATGTTCATGGGTGTGGTGCCATCCACAAGTGCATGGACAGTCTACCAGGGACCACACCCACCTCCGGAGCTTTAGGCCTGTCTCCAGCCATACTGACTGGCTTGATCTTGCCCAGGCAACCACAGATGCTATGAGTTCATGAGTGAAAGATGGATGTTATGTCAAGAAGACATTTTTCAGTCCTCCTCCTTCCCCTGCAGCTCTTCCTTCTTTCCGCTCTTCTACAGTGGCTCTTGACCCTTACAAAGGAGAGAAGACACAGGTCCTGTCTAGAGCTAGGGTGCAACAGCCACTTATTCTCAACTCTTTGCCCAGTTATGAGTCTCTGCAGGAACCACTGCCTGCTACAAAAAGAATTTGCCTGTGACCGAGGTTGATAGTGGCACTAATCTATGGGTATAAACATAAATGTTACAGGAAATTTGGCAAAGTAGTCACAATTATAGTGGGTTTCCCCTATGACCTTTGGCCTCCCTAGCCATGGGCTTTTGACCAGGCTTATGGTCCTAGTCATGAATTCTTCCCTGAGGAGCAGGCCTCAAATCCAGAGGGAGAGCATTTGGCTACTCCCATAACAGCCATGTTACGGTGGGCATGCCTTGCCTGGCAGGTCAGGTGTGTAAATCCAGCACTGATGTCCTTTCTCCCCAGTGGCCTGAGCAGCATCTTCTGTAACTATGAAAGCTAACTGGCAGGAAGGCAGTTTCCCAGAAAGTTCCAAATTCACTTCAGCAATAGGGTCTCGACATCTAGTTATGGTGGGTGCAACCAAGAGCCATGAAATAAATAGGCTGTGTTGATTTAGGGACCTCCAGGGCTTCCATTTGGCCAATAACTTATAAGGAGATAGCCTATGCCTAGCACTGAGATTTTTGTTTATTTGTTTAATAATCCATGTTTTCTGGGAGCAGAAAACTCAAACTTCTTTTCTTTTAAATCTGAATTTTTAATTATCTTACAAAATAATGAGGTTTTACTTTTCATACAACCTTCCTTTGGGTGAACCCACTCCCTTCCTCCTTCCTCTCCCCCATACCCTGCCCCCATTCTAATTAAACCTATTAAACCTCTAACCCAGTACGCTCCCCTCCACCTTAATGTCACGTGTTTGACTACCCTCCCCATCGTCAGGGCCTCTGACCTCTGCACTTGTTCCAAGTCAAACACACAAATGTAAAGATTCAAAGCTACGATCCACATATGAGAGACGGGATTTCACCTCATACTCTGGGATGACCTCGAGCTCTCTCTATAGTTCAAGATGACCTCAAACTCACAGTCTCCTAGCCTGTCTCCCAGGAATACAGACGAGTCCCACTGTGCCCATCCCAAAACGTTTTTTTTTATAATTACAAAATTACATGTCCTAATATCATACCTAAGAAAGATTCTGCCATGAACCTGAGGAAATCCTTACAGCAAATGGATAATATCTAATTTTTTTTAGACAGACAAAGGGGCCTTTTATTCAAAATTAAGATTACTTCATCATTACCCTTTTATCCAACCACACCAGTGAGTTGATAAAGAAACCACCTATCAAATTTTTGTACAGAGGTGCAGTATGGTGTGTCCTGGTTTAACGTCCCCTACCACCGTAGGTCCCATGATGGCCGTCATAGCTGAAGGAAAAGAGTGTGCTCTGTGTGTGAGTCCTGCGGAAGGCAGCAGAAGACATTAAAAATGTCAACCAGGGAATCAGCATGGATACGTGTATTCTTTAAAAGATGGGCTCCTCTGGTACAGGAAGACATAAGTGAGCCTTGGAAGGGATGCACTTGGGCTAAGCATAGATGTGCTCGTGCTCGAGTGTGTGTGTGCATTTACTTCTCCATGAGCCATTGTGCAGGCAGGCAATAGCTGGTTGGGTACAGTGGATCAGTTCAACAGGTACCTTTATAGGGGGTCAGGATGTTATAACTACAGGAGAAAACAGTAGTGGAGGCACAAGCAGCAATCTGCTCACTCTAGAATCTAAAGGAAGCTGCTGCGTTCTGTGGCCCACCGCAGCCTTCACGGCCTCCCTGGGCTTCCTTATTATGATGTCTGGAAGTGCTGAGAATGGTTTCCACCACAGGGTTCCTCACAAGGGGAACCTTAGAGACTCCACTCCCTCTTGCCTTTCCTCCAATGCTCCATCTCTTACCTTCCAGCAACCCCCTTGAGTCCATAATGAACTAGGGCCTTACTACCTTACATGGTAGGTGCTGGTGTTCCAGGCACCACGCTGAGGGCCTTTTCAGAGCTGCCTCTCTTACCCCCCTACCACAGCCCTATGAGAAGGGTGCTGTTGACACTTTTACAAATGAAGAAACAAACTCTTGACTACTGGGGTCACCCAGAAACAGGTGGTAAAGGCTATGTTTCCACAATACCAAGGACTACCCACCACTGAACCTGCACATATTCAGTCAGCTTCTCTAGAAAATTACTGTGGTTAGGGTAGTTCCAGAGAATGCTCCCCTTCACAGTATACCTGCCTATGAGGGCATCCAGAGCTAGACCCCTAAGCTTATGGGCCACAGCCATCCCTCCTCCATCATGGAGCTGGCAGGTGGAAAGAACAGTTAGTTCCACCTTAGGGAGGGGACTTACCAGCCTCTCTGCCCAGAGACTGTCAAGCTGGGACTTGACACTCAGGGCCTGGTGTACCTGCGCCCCCACAGCATCCTCGGCACCATTGCCGGCTGAAGAAGCATTGGCTTCCTCCGGCATGCCCAGCTGGCCCTCCTGCACCTGGTGCCTGTATGCTTTGCTTCCTCGTCCTGGAGACTCTGATCAAGGAAGAAGTGGCCGAGATGTCCATTTATGAGCTGATATTATTTCACTGTGTGATAAAACACCATGACCAAAGCCGAAGATTCCGGGTTCTGTGATGCAGGAGAGGAAGCAGTGTCTAGGGCAGGAAGCTGAGGGCTCACATCTTGAAGCACAAGTACAGAAACAGAGCATTGCTGGGGATGGCCCTGAGGCTTTGAAACACACTTCTCCCAGCGAGGCCCCGCCTCCCAACCCTATCTAAGCACCTCCACCATCTCAGGACTAACTATTCAAACCCCTGACCCTATGGGGGACATTCTCATTGGAACCATCCTGGCAGTCGCATCCTAAGGGGCAAGGTCCTGTGGTAGTTCAGAGGAGACAGCAGGCATCTGCATGAAGAAGCTAGAGAAGGAGAAATTGATGCACTGCTGTCTGATGGCTTAGAGCCCAGACTAGGTACAGAACGGACCAGCTGTGGACATGAAGGACACTTGCAGGATATCAAGCAGCTGCAGGACAGAGGAGAGGCTAACAGCACTCTCTCTCTCTCTCTCTCTCTCTCTCTCTCTCTCTCTCTCACACACACACACACACACACACACACACACACACACACACTCAGATGGTTCCCCTCTCCTGTTTCCTCTGGCCTGCCCCTATGCCTCACTTCCTTGCTTCATTCCCTGACTTCTCCCCACTTCAGAAGCTAGGTGGGAAATGGCTGTGATTTTGAGAATTTTGTGTTGTGCACTGACTTTGATTCTTGTTAAAACAACATTCCTTGGGCTTAGCTGCACAAATAGAACCCCAGTGAACACTGCCATGATAGAACTCTCTGAATGGTGTGTTCTGATCCATGCTGACCTTTCTATTTTAATCTATGCTCCAGGTTGCTCCAGTTAAACCCTCTCGGCCAAAAAGGCAATTCTCTTCTGGTACCATTGAAAGTGTCAACCTCGACGCCATCCCCCTGGCCATTGCTCGTCTGGACAACAGTGCTGCCAAGCACAAACTCTCGGTTAAGCCAAAAAACCAGAGGGTGTCACGGAAGCACAGGTGGCTTACCCAGGTGTGTAGAGTCTGCCCAAGCTGGTGAGGCAGGTGCCCCTGCTTGCCGGCTGTCCAGTAAATTGTAGGTCTCTCCCTGTCAGGACCTTGAATGTCCAGCAGTGTACAGGGTCAAGAGGTCTACATACCTGGCCTGAAAGTTTGAGTATAGTCGCTCATGCCCCATAAACTATGGCAGTCGCAGTCACTTTGCAAACACAGAAAGCATAGATAAACATTAGCGATCTGCTCGATTCCTCCTCTTTCTCCATCTTATACCTACCAAGACCTCAGCCCTCTGAATGGTGCCCACCCCCTACCATCACCACATGCAGGCTGGGCCTTCCCAACTCAGGCAGTTCTGGAAACACCCAAAAGTATGTTTCCAGGGTAACTCTTAAATCCAGTTAGGTTGAGAAGGAGTAGCAGGGGGCAGAGCTACTGCGGAGGGTGTCGAGATTAATTACATAGGACTCTTGCTTGATGTTAAGAAGGCTCTTATTTTTTATTTTACTCCAGGGGGGCTAGCTTATATACCGCAGCACAGGATGGGGGAGGGGAGCAGTTAGTCATCTCAGGTTCCAAGGACCGGTTAGGGCTCTTGCAGGGGGCCAGACCCAAGGTTGCAGAGAACAAAGGCACACCTTCCTTCAGTAAGCCTGTTTTTCTTTTCCTGAGATTACAGGCATTCTTAGCCAAGATCTTAATTCCTACAAAGGAGGCCTAACCATCATGGGCAGCTGTAGGGGCCACTAAGTCTGTACTCAGGACACCTGTGATTAAAGAGGACCACCTGCACTGTGGCTGGGAGGAGTTGGCCCTGTGTGGGAAAAGGCTAATAATTCTGCGTTCCTTTCCTCCAGGATCGTCAGAATGTGCCAGGCAGTTTCGAGAGTCAGTCCTCCCTGGACCTGAACGGACAACCCGGAGAAGACAAGCACATTTGTCATGAAGAGGAACCAGAACCTCTGGATTCCCACGAAGACAAAAGACTCCAGGAAGAGTACTGGCAGGAACTGGAAGCCAAGTGCAAGCGGCAAAAAGCCGAAGCAGCTGAGAAGAGGCGCCTGGAAGAGCAGAAGCGGCAGGCGCTGGAGAGGAGGCTTTGGGAGGAGAACCTCCGACAGAAGCTGCTGGAGGAGGAGGAAGGCGAGGAGGAGGACCTCCAGCTAGAGGCGGGGAAGGCACCTCCAAGGCTGCGATCGGGCCCGGAGAAGCAGGGATGTGCAGAGCAAGAGCTGCGGGAAGCTGACGCCCCAGCAAGCCTGGAGTCAGAAGAGAGTAGGTGTGAGCAGGAAGAGGCCGAGACAAAGGAGGAGAAACTGAGGCATCGGGATGCCCAGAGGCAGGAAGAGGAACTGATGCAACGCGAGGCCGAAAGGCAGGTGGAGAAATTAAGGCAGGAAGAGGAACTGAAGCAGCTTGAGGCCCAGAAGCAGGAGGAGAAACTGAGGCAGCTGGAGGTCGAGAGTCAGGAAGAGGAGCTGAGGCAGCTTGAGGCCCAGAAGCAGGAGGAGAAACTGAGGCAGCTCGAGGCCGAGAGGCGGGAAGAGGAGCTAAGGCAGCTTGAGGCCCAGAAACAGGAGGAGAAACTGAGGCAGCTCGAGGCGGAGAGGCAGGAAGAAGAACTGAGGAAGCTGGAGGCCCAGAAGCAGGAGGAGAGACTGAGGCAGCTCGAGGCGGAGAGGCAGCATGCTCAGGAAGAGGAGGAGGAGACCAGGAGGATGCTGCAGGAGCTGAGGCAGGAGGAAGAGGAGGAGGTCAAGCTCGGAGAAGAGATGAAATGGCGGGCAATGCAGGCACCGGGGCCGCAGGTGGACGAAGACCCCCAGGGTCCAGAAGAAGAGAGCCAGCCTCGGCTATCCGACCACACTGATCAAGGCCCACTGCAACGGGACCTTGAGAATCCAGAGGAACAAGAAAACCTGGAGTCCGCGGGACAGAAGGAGATGGCCCCAGAGCAGAAGGAAGAAGCCAGGACGCCCAGCGAGCCGGCAGAGCAGAGGGGAGACTTGAGCACAGAGTGCGGTGGTGTAGATGTGGAAGGGAGAGAAGCCACTCAGATGGACATCCTCCTGCCGCAAGAGGAGCAGACGGGCGGAAAGCCGGCCTCGGAGGACAAGAACGAAGCTGTCGCTGCAGATAACGACCGAAAGGTGGAGGAGCTCCGGTGGCAGGAGGTGGACGAGCGGCAGACCATGCCCCGGCCCTACACGTTCCAGGTGACCTCTGGGGGTAAGCAGATTCTCTTCCCCAAAGTCAACCTGAGTCCAGTGACACCCGCCAAGGACTCGAGCCTGGCCCCGGTGGCCCAGGAACCGCCGGTGCCCCGCGGTGCGGCCCCACACGCCCTGCCCTCAGCGCTGAGCATCCCACACACAGCCATTCTGGTCACCGGAGCGCAGCTCTGCGGCCCGGCGGTGAACCTGAGCCAGATCAAGGACACGGCGTGCAAGTCCCTGCTGGGCCTGTCAGAAGAAAAGCGGCCGGCGGACGTCCCCGCGGTGGAGGCCAGGTCCAGCGGCAGCAAGGTCAGACCTCCGCCGGAGTCTCCGAGCAATGCCGCCGCGCTAGCCGAGTGGGCTTGCATTCGATCCAGGATCCTGAAGAACGCAGAGGGTGACCAGCGTGGTGACAGAGAGCCGGCCAGAGTCGGGGATGAGCCCGCACCCCGAGCGCGGTGCGATTCCCGAGGCAACGTGCGCAGGACGCCGCCAGCCAACGCCAAGTTCTCCATCATGCCGGCCTGGCAGAAATTCTCAGACGGCGGCGGCGTGGAGACCTTCAGACAGAGCCTGGACGGTGAGAGCGGGAGGAAAAGGCCTGGGCCAGCACCGGGTGAAGAGACAGCACCCCAGCCTTCACCTGCAGCGGCTCCGGAGCCACCAGACACCACCGACGGATGCAAATTTGCCAAAGACCTTCCATCTTTCCTCGTCCCGGGCCTGCCTTCTCCGCAGAAAGCTGCCCCCCGCACAGGATCCACGGCCTCTTTGGACAGCGAGAGCACGAGTGACATAGGAAAGTCAGACCTCGTGGTGCCAGGAAGTGAGGAAAAGGCCTCGCCCTTCGGAATAAAACTGAGAAGGACCAACTACTCCTTGCGCTTCCACTGTGACCAGCAGGCAGAGCAGAAGAAGAAAAAGAGGCACAGCAGCACCGGAGACACCGTGGATGGTGGCACTCCCGCAGCCGGGAGTGGCCCTGCAGAGAAAGAGCCGGAAGTGGTGGCCCTCAAGCCTGGCACATCCCTTCCCCAGGAGAAAAAGCCCGTCCTAGCCCCTCGGAGGGACTCTGCCGAACGCCCTCCTAGCGGGGACTCTGTTGCTGTAGCCCAGCCGGGGCTACCACCAGCCGGTAGCCAGACCCCAGTTCCAGAGCAGGACAAGGCAGCAAGCAAAACACCACCAATGCAGAAGCCAGCCCTGGCTCCCAAGCCTACGAGCCAGACTCCACCGTCATCCCCACTCTCCAAACTGAGCAAACCCCATTTAGTGGAGCTGCTCGCTAGGCGGGCTGGGAAGGTGGATTCCGAGCTGGGCGAGACTCGCAAAGAAAGCAGTGATAACCAGCTGCCCTCACCATCACTGCCACAGGAGCCAAAGGGGCCGAAGAAGAATGAGGAAGAGGTGCCAGAAAAGAAACCTGCTTCCCCGCCTCTGTCAGCCAGCCAGCAAGAGAGACCTTCCCTAACTCCTGAAACAGGTAGAAAAGGTGTGTGGCTGCAGATCGAAATGGGTACCCAGCTTCATTCGGTGGAGAGGGAACTGAGGGAGCCAGGGGAACTGGCTCAGGGGATACCTTAATTAGAAACAGTTTGCCCCAAATCAGTTCTTACACTTTTTAACAACCATTGGATTGAAATGTATTGAAAGATATCCTTAACCATTTTGAGCAAGTCTGTAGAGGTGATCAAAAGTAGAGTTTTCTAGACTAGAAACTGCCTTCCCTCTGGGTGGCAGCTGCAGGACAGAGGAAGATCCCAGCATTATCCTTGGAACTGTGGAGCTTAGCTGTGTTGTGTAAAATGTGCTTAACATCCTCCCAGTTCTGCAGACTTCCCATGGTGGTGCCGAGGTTATGAGTTCTAGGCCAGCCTGGTCTATAGCCTGAGTTGCAGGACAGCCAGGGCTACACAGAGAAACCCTGTCTTGAAAATAAGGAAAGGAGAACAGAGGTAGGAAAGGGAAGGGAAAGGGAGAAGGAAGGTCAGAGTAACCCTTGGCTCTGACTGCCTCTTCATATTAAACATCTGAGGTGGCTGGATGCAGAGCTGAAGTGGCTTTTGTACTTCATATGTTCACCTAATCTTCCTAGAGACAACGTCTGAGTCATGGCTAGGAAGGTTCTCTTTTTAAGTGTTCAGATTTGGGGTGGGTTTTGCTTCCTTGAGAAGCATTGGTTTGGTTACTTGTCTTCCTTTATGGAAGCCCCTAGAGTACAACTGTGAGTGTGACATGCCAAGAAACCATAGATGGACATGGTTATGTATTTCCCCAATGTCAGAATTGATCAAATAACAGTAAATTCACAATAATAGTTTTATTGTTAGCCATTTGCCAAGTAGTCTCTATTTTCCTTGGCCATTGGCAAACCAAGTTCTCTTAGTCCAATGTTAGTTACTAATATTAAATCTCATATCACATACCACACCTCATACAGTAAATACAAATGTGCTCATGCCCACAAGCATGTTATGGAATGCCTGCAAAGTTCAAGGTTCAAGAAATCCAAAGAGGCCTTATTGGAGGCAGGGAGCTGATAGAGCTACACCACCACTTAGTAACCAGAGAGGGAAACAATAATAAACCCAGTAGGAGGGACTGGAGGATGACTCAGCAGTTAAGAGCACTGTTGCTCTTACAGAGGACCATGGTTTGGGTCCCAGAATGACACTTCACACTTCTCCATAACTCCAGTTCCAGGGGATCCAGCACCCTCCTCTGTCCTTACCGGGCACCATGCAGGAATGTAGTGCACTTGCATATGTGCAGGCAAAACACCCGTACACATAAACTGAAGTCTTGCGGGCGCGCGCGCACACACACACACACACACATACACACACACATACACACACACGGGGGGGAGGGGGGGGAGAGGGGCGGTGGACCATTGGTCACTGAAGTCACAGGGCCATGTTGCTAGGGAAGCAGGATTTGGGTGTTGAACCTGGCCTCAGGCCTTAGGGTTGAGTCCAGCTGCAGAAACAGCTGGAAGTGACGTACAGGTGAGTGGGCTGCACCCTTCCTAGATGTGTGTTTAAATCCTCAGGCTTAGTCTCTGGGAAATAATTGTAATATGCCTATGTGCACTTATGTCCCCAGTCTGCTTCTGTCTTAGTGTTTCTATTGCTGTGAGGAAACACCATGACCAAACAGCAAGTTGGGGGAGGAAAGCATTTATTTGGCTCACACTTCAGCATTGCTGTTCACCACTGAAGGAAGTCAGGACAGGAACTCAAGCAGGGCAAGATCCTGGAGGCAGGAGCTGATGCAGAGGCCATGGAGAGATGCTGCTTACAGGCCTCCTCATGGCTTGCTCAGGCTGCTCTCTTATAGAACCCAGGACCACCTGCCCAGGGATGGTACTACCCCATCAATCACTAATTAAGAAAATGCCCTACAGCTGGATCTTATGGAGGCATTTTCTCCATTGAGGTTCCTCCGTTCAGGTAACTAGCTTGTGTGTGGAACTGACATAAGACTAGTCAGCCCAACTGCGTAAGTTACCAGGTGGTTCTTTCTTCTTTTAGGAATAAGTGTATCAGTCTGCCACATGGACAAGCAACTTTAGAGGTTTGTTGTTGCTGTCATCTGTTCAGCCATGCATTCATAAGGATGGGCTAGATAGAGCAGCCTCAAGGTCATGTCCTTTAGTTCCAACAGAATGGATTTCTCCTCTCTGGCTGGGGCAGGCTGGCACTCCAGGTGAATCCAGTACCTTTCTCTCTAGCACTTTTCTTCTTCACATTGTTTTCTCTAGCCCATTTCAGGAAACCATCTCTAGTCTTACAATGCTTAATATGCAGGTTACAATGCTTAATAACATACTCAATATGCAGGTTAGTTATCCCGATAAGAATCTTGCCAGGCAGTGATGACACACACCTTTAATCCCAGCACTCGGGAGGCAGAGGCAGGCCGATCTCTGTGAGTTCAAGGCCAGCCTGGTATATAGAACAAGTTCCAAGACAGCCAAGTCTACAAAAAAAAAAAAAAACCAAAAACTCTGTTTCTAGGTGAAAACAATAATCTTACCCTTAATTTTCTTGTTTACAACATCGCCAACAGCATGCAGACTAATAGTGCATTCCTTGTCTACTGTATCACCCAGCTTTATAGATGTGGCCAAAGAAACAACTCTGTTTTCTAAAAGGCCCAGAGAATATATATAGGGTGCTTCTTGTCTTCACCCTTGTTTGCCAATTTGGTGAATTACTGGAAGATGGTGGTTCAGCCCCAAAAGACAAGTTTTCCTAGATGGGCAGGATTGAGAGTAGTAGTGTTGTAATTTAAGGCAAGCAGTGCATGAGAGAAATGCTCCATGCAACAGGAGTCAAGCAGAAGGGTTTTTATTAGGGGAAAGGGATCATAAGAAGGGGAAAGGGTGGGAGGAGACCAGTCTTTGGGGACAGGAGCAGCAGGAGAGAGGAAAGAGGGGTGGAGGGGGCACAAAGAGAAGATGGGAGGTGGGCAGGGCCTTTTAAAAGGAAACAGTGAATGTGCACAGGTGGTGCTCTTAGTGACTACAGCTGAGGGAGGGTGTATCCTGTCAGAACGCCAAGGACAGGCCAGTATAGATGCCTGAAATCTCACAAGCAACCCACAGATTCTCTCCTGTAATGACTGCTCTTTGATGGGTGAGCTGGTTTCTCATTTTGGCTTTAGCTTTTGTGTCATTAGCTTCTGTGGTATCTGCTGTCCCTTTCAGCCTTGTTGCTCCATCCGCATCCCTCCTCCCCCCAGGAAGAAAATCTCATTTCTCTTAGACTTCTGATTATTGTCATTTTCTCTCTAAAACTATTACCACCTGTTTCTTCCCCAAATCGTCAGACTTCATATTATACAGGCTGGGCTTGGTGGCACACGCTTTTGATCCCAGGACTGGGGAACTGGAGGCAAAGACATCTCTGTGAGTTAGAGACTAGCTTGAACTACATAGTCAGTTCCAGGCTCAGTGATTAAGATTTCATACCACTGTTACAAGGATCAGAGTTTAGCTACTAGCACCCAGCTATGGAGACCCTGGCTCAAACAAACAAAAAGAATAAAATAAGGCATCTACCCCAGGCCAGGGCTGACCAAATTTATTTGAACACCTTATCAGATAAAACAATTAAGCATATAGACTTCCACTTTATTTATTTGTTGTGTACAGATAGAACCATCATCAGCTAAAGCTTTCAGGATATCATCCTCATCACAAGCAAGGTCCACGTAGGTGGTGTACATCAGCTTTGCAAATCACAGTGTCAAGGTGCCACACTTTATTTTCTTTGGTCCACTTCTCAGATCTGACTTCTTTATAAAGTGGCAGGCATGGATGTTGCTAAAGTCTTTTTACACCATTTACCTACCTGTTGTGTAAAGAATCATGTAGTTTAAAGGAAACAGGCTATGCCAAATACTTACCTGATTGTAGACTTTTTAATATGTTAAAAGAGAATAAAACCACCATTCCTTCCAGCCTTCCATAGGATCCTCCTGTGCATAATCTTTCCAGTCTCCCTCAAGATTCTTAACCCAAGGTAGGTTTAGAGGTATATGCCTTGAATACTGGCACTCAGGAGGTAGAAGCAGGTGAATCCCTGTTAGTTCAAGGCCAACTGTGTCTACATAGTGAGTTTCAGGACAGCCAGAGCTATATAATGAGACTCTGTCTCAAAAAAAAAAAAACAAAAACAAAAACTAACAAATATTTTTAACTGATATTGTGAGTTATACACAACTGAGAGAAGGTATCTGTATCATCATTATCCTTAGATTTTAGAGTAGATAAATAGGGGCTGGACAAATGGCTCAGCTGATACTGCTCCTAAGGATCAGAGTGGTTGGTTGTAAGCACCTATGTTGGGCAGTTCACAACTATTTACAATTCTGGCTCCAGGGGGATCCAGTGCCTCTGGCCTCTGTGGGCATGCACATGAATACACACTTCAAAACACACTTCAAAATAAATCTTTAAAAGTGACTAATTGAAATTTTCATAGTTTCTTCAACCCTATGAAATGTCTTACATTCTCTAGGACATTCAACCAATTTTGAATACTACTGTCTAACAAAGGAGTCTGTCTTCTAGAGGCTATGCAAGGACAGAGGGATATCCAAAAGAAACTGTAGTCTTCAGGGCAGTTTTTCCACTACCTGGTGGTGGCTGTTTGGCAGTTTCATCAGCCATCCTATAATTTGGAATATTCGACTCTCTGACAATGATTATTTTGTCACATGCTTTGGGAAAACCCTTGGCTGAGGCTCAAATGGGAATCCAATTTTAATGTCCTGTTTATGGTCCTGTGAGCCAGACCTAATAAGCCTTTAAACTTAGTCTTTTAGAATCTGGTCCAAGGCACCTCATTAGTGCAGTGGGTAGTACATCAGTCTTAAAAAACAGGATCTGTTACCCTAACTATGCTATGCAGACTGCAGTTCTGAGGAAATAAAAGACAAGACACATTGTGGAGTTTGATTTCCCCAGCATAGAGTATGAACACTGGTCAGGTCTTTGGCATGGGTGGCTTTGCCATCTTAGATACCTTGCATAGAAATGGCAGGACTCTGTCCATTAATTTTATGATGGCAATGTACCTAAAGTGATTCTAAAGACATGGTATGTTTCAGACACTGGCCTCTCCTGGGAGTGGACCCCTGTATCCTGCTTCTAAGAGAAACTCTCTCCCAATTTGCCTCCCCCTTTACTGTATTCCAGTAGTGCCAAAGCCTGGTCAATGAACATTCGTCACCTTAGTTTTGTCACCAGCCCAATCTTCTCTTTACTGTGTTACTTTGACTGTGTTTGACATGCTGGTATCTACAGTTCTCCATCGCTGCAAAAGAAAAAGAATGCGCCCCATTTCAGTTTAAATTCTTGCTTTCAAGTTGTTTTCTCCTTTTTGGGCTTTCTCTTTATCCTGGAGTGTAATATAAAGTCCATCTGACTGGGTGCCCCGGTGCTAAGATTCTATCAAAGTGTAAACTTCTATTAGATTTCTGAGGAGCAGGGCTATATAGCAAGCTCTTTTGAGATAATAATTCAAGACAGTTCTCTTAACTCTGATAACTTAAGTGATCTTAGAGAAATGGGGGCTTTGCCTCATAGGCAAAAATAATTGTAGTTTTCTCTAAATGTTTAGTGTAGGCCAAGTACTATTCTAAATATTCTAAATACAGGATCCCTCTGAATTTAAAATTTTGTTTGTTGAGACAAGGTTTTGCCTTATAGCCCAGGCTGGCCTTGAACTCATGTTTGTTGGCATGATATTTATTGTCGACCAACATTCAAATATAGGTATTGGTTCACAGTCATGGGATTCTCACTATACTCCTGGAAGCCCTGCCCTCAGCAGCTGCCTCAAGTATAGAGCACCACTGCTGTTCTGTTCTTCAAACACTAGGGTTCTATGTAGGATACTGTTTGAGAAGAATGCCTCCATTGCTACAAACAAATCTCACTGAGACAGTGAACCATGTACTACCTCGGTCTCCTGCAAACATGTATTTTTTTTTTTTTAATTACATTGGAAATTTTACTTTCTTGTTTCACTTCTAAGGAAGAAAAATCCCCATTTTCCTGTTAGCAAAAGCTGTTACCTTTCTACCCAATGGAATCAACCTCTTGAGCATCAGCATAGATGTCATAAGCCTATCAGTAATTATGTCACACCCTTACAGGATGAGAAGCTAAGTCAACTGCTAACTACGGCAAACACCATCTTTTTTTTTTTTTTCATCCACAGAGAAGCCCATGTTGCAGAGCAGGCATTCTTTAGATGGCTCCAAATTAACAGAGAAAGTTGAAACTGCTCAGCCACTGTGGATAACGTTGGCGCTGCAGAAACAAAAGGGGTTCCGTGAGCAGCAGGCAACTCGAGAGGAGAGGAAACAAGCCCGGGAGGCCAAACAAGCAGAGAAGCTCTCCAAAGAAACTGTGAGTCGCTCGCTCTGTTCTCGGGGTTGCTACCCTGAGCTTAACTCTCTTCTAAGACATGGGATATAGTTTGTAAGATGCTAAGTGGAGGTGCTGTTTATAAAGGGCAGGGAAGTAAATAAAGTAACCGCCTTTGAACCAGGGAAGCATTTTCCAGCATGAAAATTTAATTTGGTTTTACTATGCTTTTAGGGGAACCTTACTTGGCAGAATCTAAGATGTCTATATTTACAACAGCATCTCACTCACAATGGTTACAGTAGTGCCCTTGCGCACATATCTGAGGTTACACGTTCCATGGCTTGAATGGCTTGAGGACAGTCACGATCTAGAAATAATTTAAGTGGAAAGTTGAAGGAATAGCAAATCATGGATTTAAAGTGCCATTCTGTGTGATGAAACCTCTTGTTCTACTTCATGAGGCATGAATGCGCTTTGTCCAGTGGTTGTACACAGTATATGCCAACCAGCAGTCAATCACCTGATGGCCATCTTGGCTGTTAGCGATGTCATGATCCTGAAGATTAACAAAGGATAAGGAGCTGTGAAGTGCTTCCTGAGGTGAAAGGTCTTAACTTAGTAAGGACAGAAAAACAACCACAAACTGAAGCGATTGAAATCTAAGAATGAGATGGAATGAAGTCAGTTTTAGCTCTGTCTCTGGTTTTAGACGTCCCATGAGGATCTTAGACCACATCAGTCTTAGAAAAGGGAAATTGGTGTGTGTGGGAGACATGGAAGTGAGTTTTGTGTATCAGGGGCCTTGTTCTATGACCTAACTTTAGGGTCATCTTGATGGGGCTCTTCCTGGTAAGTGACTTTCCATCCTTGGAATGTGACACTGAGCCCTCACTGGAGGCGTCTTGAACGCACTGCTCACAGGCTCCCTTGATGGAGCATTGAGAGGCCATACACTGAGAACACCTTTCCCTGTCATTCCCAACACAGGCCAGTGTCAGCCCACACCCTGGAAGCAGTCGAGGAAGCAGAGCTGGTTCCCTGCACAAGTCTGCCACCCCAGAAGAGAAGAAGCCCGAAACTGCAGTGTCCAGGCTCCAGCGCAGAGAACAGCTGAAAAAGGCCAACACTCTTCCCACATCCGTGACGGGTAAGAGCTGGTCTGGCCCAGTCTGCCTGGAGTTACCATTTTCCCTGAGAGGTCTTTAGTCCCACCTTGGGGTGACTTAGCATCTTAGACATCACAGAACACAGGTTCTCAAGACCCAACTGTTAAACTCTGATGCAGGCTGCAGGAATTCCCCAGCTCTCAGTGAAGACAGTAAAATGCCTTTACAGTCATCTCCCTAGGGGCGTTATAGCCTTTACTAACTTCCCTGATGTAAATATGTCAACTGTGGCTAATTTATTAGAAGCTGCTAATGTGACACATATGGGCTAACCTGGTTTCTGCTCATTTAACAGGTCAAGGTGAGTCATCACCAGTACCTAACTATCATTCATTTCTATTATCTCTTCCCTTTTCCCCAATTTCCCCTTCCCCCCCTCAAATATGTCAACATCTTGTTCTGGGGAGGGGACCACGTGGGAATGTTTGCTAATGGGTACAATTCAGAGAAGTTCTGTGGTATATACACCTTTAATCCCAGCATTCGGGAGGTAGAATCAGGCAAATCTCTATTGAGTACAAGGCCAGCCTGGTCTACAGAGTTCTAGAACAGTCAGGGCTACACAGAGAAACCCTGTCTCAAAAAGCCCCCCCCCCAAAAAAAGGAAAGAAATCTGGCAGTGACCAGAGCTAACAGTCTACTGAATTCTTAAAGTGGATTTTAAATGTTCATAATTTTGTGAACAATGAGCTAGATTTAGCTGGTGTGTGTGTGTGTGAGCAGCATTTCATGTACAGTAAGTATATATAATTCTATTAATTAAAATTGTTTTTATGTGGTTACTTACTTCTCTTTTCCTTGGAAACCAATGCAGTGGAGATCTCAGACTCTGCGCCCGCAGCACCGCTGGTAAAAGAGGCCCCCAAGAGGTTCTCCACCCCGGATGCTGCCCCAGTGTCCACAGAACCTGCCTGGCTGGCTTTGGCCAAAAGAAAAGCAAAGGCCTGGAGCGACTGCCCACAAATCATTAAGTAAACAGTGACTCTCACCCATTTCTGTGGCCATTTGCTGGCTTTTCTCTTGCCCTTTTTATTTATTTATTTTTTTATATGAGGTAAAGAAACCAAGCTAGGGAAAAGCATGTTTTATAGGCTCTAAAATAATGTTTTAGAAACTGAACTGGTGGTGTTCATTGTAAAGAGTGTATTTGCACAATCCTGGGTCCTGGTGCCTTGAGCTCCCCCTAGTTCTCAGGAGACAGTTTTGTCTGAAGGACCACATGAAGCAAAACGAGAGCTCAGGAGAGCCTGCCATGCCCACCCATGGCCTTCACGTACACATGCACGCCCATGCACCATTTCAGAACATACCCGTTTGCCAATCTTTGTAAGGTTTTTCTCCCTTTTTGATTCTCTAATTTTCCGTTCAGAGCATTTACCCTACTGTGTGTTTGCATACATAACAGTGACAAGTTCACATGTACATAAAACATGGTCTCACTCTCCTGAATGCAGTGACTGGAGAATAAGAAAAGCTGGCTTCCAACTCTGTGCCTGTGTCTGGTTTTCATGAATTTTTCCCCACCCTAAAAACCACAACATAGCAAATCCATTCACACACATGGTGTGCCCTGTCATATCAGTACCCTTTTGAAAGACACATGGACTATTTGGCCTTGCTGGCTCCTAAGGAACATTTGTCTTAGTCTGGTGAAGAAAAGGAGATGCTGTACCAGAGTTGTCTGAGAATCCCATGTAGTGTTGTGCTCTCCAGCAGCCCAGATCCTGGGAAACTCTCCAGATGAATTCTGGTATAACCCAAGTTTTAAGAACCTTGGGGCATGACAACTCTGATAAAATCTAGCTTTTCACACCAGGAAGAGAAGGCCTGTCCACCCAAAGAAGCAAAAAGTGAGACAAGACAATAAAACCATCACCCAAACCAGACATTTATGTATGATAGTTTAGGTTGCTGGCATTATTACATGCCTCTGAAATTTCCCCTCCGTCTTTGGGGAAAATTAACAAGCCAAGATGTGTAACCTATTTCTACGAAGGACTTGCTGCGGAGAATTTCTTTTCCTTTGTTGTACTTGAATAATTAATTCAGAGTCGAATGTTCCAAAGCATTTACAATTTAGAGCATTCACCTTGATACCTTTAAAAAAAGATGCATCTCAAGAGTTTTACGTGGCCTTGTATCATACACATGTGCACACAAAGAAGGGACCTGGCAGTTTCAAAGCCACATGTATGTTTATTTCTCTAGATTTGCTTTACATGACACTAGACATACCAGCAAATGCCTACACACTGCTGGCACTCACTTTGTATTTCCTGGTGTTGGCATATTTTCCTTTTATAGGTGCAGATTCTTTGTCCAGTGCAGGGGGATCTGCATCCCCCTTTCTCCCACACTAACACATTTTATAGCATCTATCACAACTTCCTCTGTGCTTACTCAATATGCAATGTGCTGTTATTCTGTCAACCCTACAGGATGACAGGGATGCCGTTTACCATACAGAATCCATTTTCTCTCTAGAAACAGTGGCACAGCTTCATGAAGCAGCTGGCATGTGTGGTCAAGTGGATAGCTGTACTACTGCAAGTCGGATTTAGTATATATCCTGGACCTTCAGGCTGTTAAGAATTAATGTAACTTATGTTGTTCTTGTTACTACTATTGTAAGCAACTAATATTCCACTGCACGTATCCCACACTGGTATTCATTTCTAAATCTTATGTGTAGACAATTGTTAGTTCAATGATTTCCTCACTGGTATAACACTTTTGAATGGGAATCATCACATCCAAAGCCCTAGAATTACAGAATGGGAATCTTTCCACCCAAAGCCCTAGAATTATAGTGCCACAGTGATCCTTGCAAACTGACTTCTTCCATCCTCTCATGGCAGCAAACAGGTACAGAAATAAGATGGCTAAGGAAGAATAGGGCTGAGCATGGTGGTGCACGCCTTTTACTCTAGCATTTGGGAGGCAGAGGCAGGTGGATCTGTGTGTTCAAGGCCAGCCTGGCCTATACAGCGTGAGTTCTAGCCAAGGCTACACAGTGGCGGCCCTGTCTCAAAACAAAAAGAGTAGTAGATAGGTTCATACTGACTCAACACCACGAGCCCACACACAATACAAGACACAGCTTAGTTAAAGATGCCCCACTGATACCTTTAAAAGGAGAAGCTACTGAGGAAGGGGCAGTCACCATACTTGCTAAAGAGTATACATCTAGCATTTCATTAAAAGTCAGCCCAAACCTGCACTAAATACCAATGAAGTGTTACTCTGCTTGAGTTGTGTTGCACTTTTCTGAGCAACGGACTATGGGGAAGTTCTATGGAAACAGAAAGTTCAAGACTTTTTTTTTTTTTAATGAATGACTGCTATATTAAATATTCAAGCTCTTTTTTTTTAAATTTAAACACATTTCTTCTGGCAAGGCTATATAGGTGATTAACCTCTGTTCATAGATTTACATAAGAAAGTAGAGTTTTTTGGTTTACTTTAAAATATGTTTCAAGTGCAATTGTTTCTTATAAAAAAAATGGTTGATTACCATTAAATTCTCATTTTAGCTGGTTATCTACAAATGTATAGTGTGTATTGTATCCACTGTCTCTTGTGATGTTTAGTTTGCTTATTTTAAAGCAGCAACATTAGCTACAAGTGTCTTGCAATATTTTTACCAACAATAAAATTAAGTAGCTACTTAATAAAAATTCCTTAGTGTGATTTTATTATTTTGAGATTTTGATTGTATACAGTTTGAATGTAAAAAAAAAAAATGTCCATTATTTAAGGGAAAAGACCTTTCAATAAAATATTGACAAGACCTTTGGCTCTGATGGACTGTCCTTTTTTTAAGCTGAAGTTCTGACTGATGGCCACCCATGAGTAACCTCTTATTTACAGAGCTTTGGATGAACAAGAAAATTTTCAAGTTATTTTTAATGCCACTTCATATATTTCTCCCTTCCCCCAAATACCCAGTGGATGAATATATGAACAAGGCCAAATGCTTATCTCAATTCCAAACAGGAAGTGAATGGTCTGAGTCTTGGATAAAATGATCTTGCAGTCTCCTTACTGTAGGCCATAGTCCAGCAGCAGCAGCAGCCTCACATGAGGGCCACCTACCACAGGGCTACACCTTGGACCCTCTGAGCATGTGATGCAAAGACAACTTAGTGAAAAACGACAGTTGGCTTGGGCTACATAGCAGGAATGATGAATGCCTAAAGTTACCATAATATCAAGTCGAAACTGTGTGTGTAAAACATGGGCACTTTAGCTTAAAAATACTAAAGGATGTAGGAACAGATAAATAGATCCTACCTTCAAAAACCTTTAGCTCAGTATACAGAGATGGTTCATTGGTTAGGAGTTCTTGCCTCACACAGAGGACCCAGGCTCAGTTCCTGACATCTACATGGTGGCTCACTCTAGCTCCAGAGGTTCCCACATGTTCTTCTGGTCTCTGGAGGAAATGCACACATATGGTACATATATATATATATATATATATATATATATATATATATATGCATGCAAAACACAAAAGATAAAAATCTTTTTTAAACTTCAGTATAATAGTAAGTAATTTATTATGTTTATTACTCACAAAATATATTCTGATCCTTTCTTTTCCATAGAGATCTTTAAACTCCTGGAAACCCACAAAACTACCTTATTAGGGTTCTCTAAAAAAACATAACTGAGCCAGGTGGTGATGGTGCACGACTTTAATCCCAGAACTTGGGAAGCAGAAGCAGGCAGATCTCAGTGAGTTCAAGGCCAGCCTGGTCTACAAAGGGAGTTCCAGGACAGTCAGGTCTGTTAGACAGAGAAACTGTTTCAAAAAACAAACAAAAAATCCTTAACTGATCCAATATATTTAGCTAGGTGGAGAGAAATAAAAAGTTATCTGTCTACTTACTGTGAAATGTAGAGCATATGTGATTATTCCAGAGAAGCAACCAACTAATGTCCATAAAAACAGCAATTCAAGAACTAGGTCATGAGGTTATGGACATGGAGAAGTGCCACCGTGTCTTGCTGGGGCATTAGAGACCTGCGGAACCTGTGGTACAATTCAGTTCATATAAAGGCCAGAGGCTGCAGGAGCAGGGAGCCGATGGTATAATCTGCAGGCCTGAGAAGCAGAGGGATACAAGTGCTGCTGCCGAGTCTCCTTCCCAAACCAGGATATGGTGAGCCTTGCTCAAGAAGACAATGGTGCTTCCTCTGTCACCTTCAGACACTCATCTGTGGGATAGTGTCCACCCACAATGGCACACAGGGGAAGAAGATATGGACTTCAAATGCTAAGCCAGTTTATAAGCCACCTCATGTCCACAGCAAGAACAAAACGTGCTTTACTGTCTTCCTTCAATTGCCCATGCCTAATTATCATAGACTGACTATCACAAATACAGGGTTATTTGGCTTTCAGGTCTGAAATCTGAGGCATTCGAGGACCAGTGGTTATGTGTCCCTTACTGACAGAGACCTTCTACAGAGTCCCATCCAAGGTGACACTGGGTGTCACATGGCAGAGCAGAGCACACTGGACACTGGCCCTGTAACTCTCCTCAGGGTCAGCAGCATACACACGCACACACATACAAACCATCCCCTGGACACACACACCATCCCCCACAACACATACACACATTCACACACACCATCCCCCCAACACACACCCTCACACACACCATCCCTCCAACACACACCCTCACACACACCATCCTCCCCAACATACACACATACAACCTCAAAGGTACCACCCCTAAGTACCATGGTGGGGTTATGTTTCCATAGTGGGGTGTTTTGAGGGAGAGTTTCAAACCAGAGCAGCATCCTTTTGACCAATTAAGACAAATGTGATCTAAAGCATAACAATTAACCATGTTAATGTTAGTTAGGGTTACTATTGCTGTGATGAAACACCATGACCAAAAGCAAGCTGGGAAGGAAAGTGTTCACTTGGCTTACATTGCCACACCATAGTCCATCACTGAAGGAAGTCAGGATAGGAACTCAAACAGGGCAGGATCCTGCAGGCAGGAGCTGATGCAGAGGCCATAGAGGGGTGCTGCTTACTGGCTTGCTCCTTGGGGCTTGATCAGTCTGTTAAAGAAGCCAGAAACACTAGGACAGGGGTGGCACTACCCAGTGGGGGGATTCTCTCCATCAATCATTAAGAAAATGCTCTACAGGTTTGTCTGCAGCCCAATCTTATGAAGGCATTTTTTTCCTTCAGTTGAGATTCCCGACTCTAAAATGACTAGCTTGTGTCATGTTAGCATAAACTATTCAGCACACCATCACACATAATTAAAAGTGCTACAAAATACAGCTAGTGTGGGCTGGAGAGATGGCTCAGTGATTAAGAGCATTGGTAGTTCTTCTAGAGGTTCTGAGTTCAATTCCTAGCAACCATGTGGTGGCTCACAACCATCTATAATGGGATCTGATGCCCTCTTCTGTCATTCAGGCATACATGCAGATAGATATCATATACATAAAATAAATAAATCTTAAAAACTTACTTAAAAAACCCACAGCAGGTGTTTTATCCTCTCTTCCTAGAAGTTCCTGCTGCTTCCATAGGAAATAAACATGGCTGTTCTCTACTGAAGTACAACAAATCCCTTAACCAAAATAGAATCTTTACTATAAAACCAGCCATGTAGCTTTACAATGATGTTTCCAACCATGTCACACAAGTATACTTACAATGAGTGCACTTGATTATTTTTATCCCCACACAATAAATCCAGACAGTAAATGTAATTATTTCTGCACCCAATAATAAGCATCGATTCCCAGACCACAGGAGAAGAGAAAACTTCTCCAGGGAATTCATACACACTTCGCAGCTTTCCACTCTGAGACTCAAGGATCCACAGTTTCCCATCAGTAGATGCAGCTGCCAGCAATGTTTCACTGCTACAGCTCCGGTTACTAAAGGCAAAGGGTGTTGCATACACTCTTGCTGTAGTCTCAAATTTCCACCGGAGGTGGCCTTCCATGCTACAGCAGTAGAGAAAGCAATCATGGGAACCAAAAAATATTTCTTGTTCTGCTGCTGAGATACACGGTGATGAAAAGACTGGTCCTCCAGCAGAGATGCACCAAACCTGTAAAGGAGAAGAGGGGCCATTATCAGTCATTTGTCATTTGTCCAACTGCAACACTTCCTTAAGTCTGCATGGTTCCATCACACGGACAGAAGACAACCTGGAACTCCATACACCAAAAACAATGCCAGCATCCGGAAAGTAGCATTCTCACACTAGATTGCTCCAATGTAAAAAACCAGGGCAAGATACACTACAACATTACAATTTATTTTGAGCATACTTGAGAATTACTACTGGTATGTTCACAGACACTGTGTTTAAAGAAAAAAATGCATTAGGTCTTCAATGTATATTATTAAAAATAATCTTGGACTGGGGGTAGAACTTGGCCTTGGTTCCAAACCCAGCTCTAGAAAAAAGAGAAAGGGAAAAAAAGGTCTAACTCAAGTTTCCAAATAAAGTGAGATAGAACTGGACTGAAGACAGTTTCAATTTAGAGCTTTAAACAAAATTCTGTATATTGCCAGGTGGCACACACCTGTAGTTCCAGCATTCAAGAGACAGGAGGCTGGAGTGATGGCTCAGTGGTTAAGAATGCTGCCTACTCTTCTTCAGGACCCAGGTTCAATTCCCAGTACCCACATGGCAGCTCACAGCTGTCTGTAATTTCTGTTTATATATACATTATATATATATGTATTAAAAAAAAAAAAAAAGACGAGAGTTCTAGGGCAGCCTGGTCTACACATTGAGTTTCAAAATAGCAAGTGAGACCCTGTATCAAAAGAAACTTAAAAATTATAATACATACACACACACACACACATATTGTGGTACATATAAACATCTAGAAAGACAGGAAGGGAGGGAAGAGAAAGATTCATCAAAGGGCTAGGAATGCAGCTCGATAACAGAACAGCCACTCCCTGGTTCAGTCTCCAGTGTTGGAGGGGTACAGGTGGGTTACACACAGAGCTGGATCATCCCACCTGTTCTCCTGAGTGAGTGAAGCAGCACAAGCTCCCATCCACACAGCCGATGCAAATGTACTGCTGGCAGCACCGAGGGGAAGAGAAGAGTGGCTTTCCACAGGAGTGCTTCCAAACTACACTCCCAGTAGCCTGTTGTGGCCAAAGCAATTGACAGCACTGAAAATCACTTTACTAATTAAGTACAATTACAATTGTGAAGTTACATTTATTTACTTGTGGTTTGTTTGTTGTGTGCATGCACATGTAGGTGTGTCTGTACATGCCACAGAGCACACGTGGAGGCCGGAGGACAACTTGTGTCTCTCCTTCCATCATGTGGGAAGAAACCTGAACACAAGCTGTCAGAGATGGTGGCAAGTGCCCTTACCTGCAGAGCCATTTTACAACAAACTGAAAATCTTCAAGGCACACACACACATAGAAAATCAGTGCTACTTATGAGGGCTAAGACAAAAGTTCAGCCTGGAACATGAAGCAAAGCAAAAACTAACACAAAAATCTAGCTTTAAGTTTCTTTTAGTTTTTGTTTTCCTAGGTTTTTCAAGACAGGGTTTTTCTGTGTAACCCTGGCTGTCCTGGAACTTACTCTATAGACCAGGCTGGCCTTGAACTCAGAGATTTGCCTGCCTCTGCCCCCATACATACACGAATGGTGTATGTATGCCACCACTGCCCAGCTAAGATCTAGCTTTAGAAAGGAAAAACAATTTTAAAATTAGGATATTAACAAGATCATACCTTACAACAGACAAGAAGCTTTTTTTTTTTTGTTTTGGTTTTGTTTTACTTAGTTTTTTGCTTGTTTATGTTTTTTTAGGGTTTTGTTTGTTGTTTGTTTGTTTGTTTGTTTTAGAAAGGGCCTCACACTATGTAGCTCAAGCTATCCTGGAACACTAAGCAATTCACCTGCCTTTGCCCCCATGCACTGGGATTGAAGGTGTTCACCACTGTGAGGGACAGACAAGAAGTCCTTAACATGACTGAGAAAATCCTGTTAAAAAGGTTAGAAGTAGAGTCAGGAGAGGATGTTAATAATGAAGTATGCATGTTCTTGTAGATGACCCAGGTTTGATTCCCAGCACTCATACTGCAGCCAACAACCGTCTATAATTCTAGTTCCAGGGGATCCCATACACTCTTCTGACCTCTTCAGGCACACGTGTTGGATATACATACGACAAAATGCTTATATACATAAAGATAAATAAATCTTTTTAAAGGTTAAAAATAGATGAAGAAACAAACACAATAAAAACATGAAACTCATGTTTCAATCACTTCAAGTGAATTCTAGCTCATTAATATATTGGATCATATTTAACTGAGAAGTACTCAAACTGTCAAAAATCAAAAATAAAAATAGGTAACAAATCAACACATTACTGAATACCTACAGGGTTTACAGCCAGTAAGAGTCCCTGCAGTGTAGCACAGTAGAGGTGATGTGGACTCAGGCTCAAACATGGAGAAGAAAAGAGTGCTCCTCCGCATTTTAGCTTCCAGACACACTTCTTTTCCTGCAAACAGGAATTTGAATTAATTGGGTGGTGCCTATTGTTAACAAATCCATACACAATATAGCTAAGTTTTGGTTAACCTCAACTTTCTGTTTTGTTCCTTCTGGAGGTGCTAGGATTGAACCCAGAGCCTTGCACACGCTGCACAAAGGAGCAGCTGTTAGCCTCTAGGAATGAGGTTTTCCTTCTCTTCTCCCCTGCCCTCCCTATTCACTCACTCAGAATCCTCCTGCATCAGCCTCCTCATGCACCACCATTTGAGGTTAAGTTAGGACAGAGGAAGCAAAGGACATCACTGATAACTGATAACACAGGAGTATTTCCCCTTTTGATCAACTGGTGTGTTGATCAAAATGTCTTAAAATATTTTTTTTGATACATTATATTCAAAATAAAATTATCTCTCTTCCTAATCTAAAACTGTTAGACATCAATTACTCAACAACCTTGTGCCTATATCTGTCTCTGTCTCTGATTACTTGGCCAGGATGGAGCCACAGGAAACAATTCATGAGATTTACACAGCTGCACTACTTTACTACATTTACTCACTGTTCACGAGCACATGTGGGTCTATGAATCATAACTTATCACTTCTTTCCAGACCAGATGTTATACTTGGGCTATATTAACACCTCCCCCAGACTCAAGCATCTCTGTGTTCACAGTACAACCCTGATGAGGGGAATTCTTACATAAAGGTCTAGAGCATACACATGCTGGTCATGAGATCCGACATAAACAAGTCCTGTGGTAGGATCCATGGCGGGCGAGCTTTTCACAGCATCTTCAGTAGTAAATGCCCAGTATTTTTCTCCACTATTACTTTTTAGAACATAAACTAATCCATTATAACAGCCTACAGAGAGAAAATATAAAAGATGAGACTGAGATACATTAATACAAAATACTGTTTAACTGATGACGATTTATATTCACGCTCTTCTTATATATATATTTACATCCACTCCTCCAATTTAGCTTTCAATGAACATAAAGCAGAAACTGAACAGCTGTCACTCTTGTAAAACCCTGACTTAGTGCTGGTGCGGCAGCACACATCTCTAACCCAGCCCTGCCCTTAGTCTTCTGAGTGCTGGAGATACAGGTGAACATCTCTACATTCAGCAGTCTCTTGTTTTTTAATAGGAATATGGGCCAGAAAGACAGTAAAGGCACCTGCCACCAAGCCTGACATCCTGACCCCAAAGTGCACATACACACCACACTGGAAGAACTGGATTCAAACTCATCCTGGCTATGGCTGTATAAATTACCTGGTATCACGGAGCCCCAGGTTATTCTTCATACAGTTCACACAGATGCTCAGAGATGTTTGGGAAAAGCTAATATTAATAACAACAAATGTCCATTGGGCATGTCCTATGCATCAGGGCTTTTTCTTGTGAGACAGGGCTGTTAGCCCAAGCAGGTCTCAGGTATCCTACTGGGGAGACCTTCTGATCCTTCATCTTCCACTTCCTGAGTGCTGGGGTTAGAGGTGTGCATCATCCATCATACCACCTGGTATATACAGTGCTGGGATTGAACCTAAGGCTAGGCAAGCATTCTACTGTTCAAGATACATCCCCAGCCTACTTTTTCAAGTATTTTAGCATAATTATGTGCACACATATGGATAGCAACATGGAAGCAGATTAACTAAAGGGGCAAGTTTTCTAAGTTATCACATGGCACTATTAGGACTTAAACCTAAGAGCCAATATTCTTAGTAACTACACTGAACTTTTCCCAAGCGGTGGCCATGGATGAGAAGGTAGTTCTGGGAGCCCAGACCTTGATGCAGAAATTGTAAAAACCTGCAAGTGAAGTCACAACAGACACATGGGCACACACAGTCAGGCAAAGTGGATGGAATCGGAGGACAGCCATTTAGGATGGCTTCACTGCCTACATCTCACATGGTTCTTCTGCCCATGGTCAGGTCATTGCTTGAGATTCAATTTCTTAGATACTTTCTGTGTTGCCATCATTAACTAAGAGCTTCATTTTTGCCTTGCAGTACAATAATGGATCTTAGGCTCAATTAATCCTGCCCAGAACGCTTTATAGTTGTCATGGGTTTAAAATACAGCCACACATTCTTAGATGTTTTTATAGAAATGGAGACTAATTGTCTCCACTGAGCATGGACTAGATCTAGTGATTTATGTTTAATGAACACAATTAAGCAAAAATAAGTCTCCAGTTTTAGAGACTACACTCTTAAAGGTACTCTGTGGCTCCTATAGCTCTCTCTTTTGGGTCACCCACTCAGAGTGAAGTCAGATACCATGTCATGCACATTTCAGACAGCTACAGAGAGGCTCATGCAGCAAAACCTGAATCTTCTCAGCAAAAGAACAAACTAAGAATGGAGTCCCTGTGCTAACGGTGCTGTCTGTGAGCCATCTTGGAAGCAGTCTACATAAAGCCTGTAGTGCCACAGAAGCATGAGACCTCGATCATCAGCTAAGTGCCTCCACAATCCCTGGCCCAGGGATGCTGCTGGGGGTCAGTAGGTTTCAATATCACGTGTTCCACAGGACCATATTCTATTACTGTTTCCATTTTCCCCATAAGAAAAGAGAGATTGTAAGTCCAACAACCTGACAAAGTCACAGAGAATAGGAATGCAGAGCTAAGTTTATATCCAGGGCCTCAGTTCCCAAACATATGTACGTGTGTGTGTATGTGTGTGTGGTGTGTGTGTGTGGTGTGTGTGTGGTGTGTGTGCGTGTGTGTGGTGTGTGTGCGTGTGTGTGTGTGTGTGTGGTGTGTGTGCAGTGTGTGCGGTGTGTGTGTGTGTGTGCGTGTGTGGTGTGTGTGTGTGTGTATAAAAACCTCAAATTCAGAAACTTACCCACTACAATAAAGTTTCCACACTTAGACACACATGCTGAGGATTCAATTCGATCTCCCAAAAGCTGCTCCCATCTCATCTTCCCAGAGTAAAGGTCAACTGCCTTCATTCTGTGGGAGTGGGAGCCAATATACACGGTTGTAGATGACCGATTGACAGCTGCTATCACGATCAGAGGGGAAGCATCTACACATTTGCCTGTGTCTGATCTCCACCTCTCTCTCAACACCATCGCCTTGACCCCTACCTCGGGCTTCCCCTCCTGAGAAACCGGTGGCTTTTTCAACTTTTCATCAGGAGCTGGAAGACTTAAGCCTTTTGGTACTTGAGTACTAGTCTGTGGAATTAAATCCAGAGGACAGACTGACTCAGTTAAAAGCCTCCAAGAGCCCAGAGACAAAATCTGACTCCCTCTGCTCAGAGCAATCAGAGCATTCATCTCACTGTGGTGGGTAAAGGGTAAGGCAGACTCCAGATGTGCAGGCTTGCCACTGGCTTCCTCTGGATCCATGTCACTAAGTTTTCTTTTTGTGGTATAACCCCGGTTGACTTTCAGGTCCTCGTGTGTAAACACCGTCTGAACGATGTGGTTGTAAACCTCTAAGATAGGACTGCTGAGAATACGCTCCAGGAGTCCAGGTATGGATGTGCCAATGAGTTTTTCAATCTCATTGAGGAGCCATGTGGACTTCAGGGAGTCTCCACCACTGTCCAGGAAGACTGAGTCATCAGGAACTTCCAAAGTATCTTCTGGATTCTCAGGGAGACTCAGAATAGACTACAGTAGACAGAGGAGGGAGAGGCATGGTAAGAGGCCCAAACCAAAGGACTTCACAGCAGAACAAGCGATACAGAGCCGACAGTACCAATAACAGACACCATAGAAAGAAGCTAACAGTTAAGCTAAGTTAAAAATTATTTTCTCTATTCTAATGATCATCACTATACTACCAACTCTGTCACAAATTCACTCTATAGTCTCTAAATACCATTCCTTTTAGAGCAGTTTTCCTATCATAAAATAAGGAAGTCACAGAAACATCAGCTTAACCAACTAGCCCTTAAAATCCCCACAGCAGATAAGTGGAAGTATTACTAACCCACTTCATATAATTCAAACTGCCTTTACAAGTGGAGTGATAACAATTTAGTACTCAGTGTTTAAGACTAACCAAATGCATCCACTTCACAGAACCATTCAGAAAAATCTACATCTTTTGTTGTTGTTTTCTAGACATGGTTTTCTCTGTGTAGTCCTGGCTGTCCTGGCACTCACTCTGTAAACCAGGCTGGCTTTGAACTCACAGAGATCTGCCTGTCTCTGCCTCCCAAGTGATAGGATTAAAAGCCTGGGGAACATTTTATAAGAAAATTTGCAGGCCGGATGGTGGTGGCCCATGCCTTTAGTCTCAGCACTCAGGAGGCAGTGGGTCTATGAGTTTGAGGCCAACCTGGTCTACAAAGCTACACAGAGAAACCTTGTCTCAAAGAACAACAACAACAAAATTTGCTTACCTATTGAGATACATTTTAAAATGCCTTAGATAGAAATACAGAGCTATTGCAAATTTCTCAGGGTTAACGACAGAACCCAAAATGCAATGGCCAGCCCACCCTGTAGAGCATGGTTTTAGCATGGCAAGAGCATAGGCACTGCATTACCATTCCCAGGGAAAAGTCATGTCAATAGGCAAGCAGACACCAGCACCTTTTAAATTAACTCACTTTCAATGCATTACTCTGTGAAACATTTAAACACTCTAACCTTTACTATATACAAACTGGATTAAGGAAGGTATGATACCTGGCACCTGGGCAGCAATAATATTCTTAAAATATTTTTACTGGTTTCCTAGGGATACTAAAATTCCCTACAATGCATGAATTACAGAAATAAATTTTTATTTAAGAAACTGTACCTTCCATAAATGCTGTAAATTTCCCCAAAGTTCCTCTTTTCCATGGATCTTATTCCTAGGCTGTGAGTTTATGTAGTCTAAATACATCTTGTTTAACTCAGAAACATTAATTTTACCTTCATATAAGAGAAATAACAAACATTAAAATAACATGTAAACTTAATTGGGCAGCTGTGGGTGTAGCTGAGCAGTAGAGCATGTTTTCGGCACATACACAGTCCTAGGCTTGACCCCACCCTATAAAATAAGCAAATAAATTCATTTTGCCTGATAACCACTGGGTGTTCATTAGTCACACATTCTTCCTTGTAAAGTTTAGAAATCATATAGGACAGATAATCAATTCTGAAGGCCAATGCTATAAAGATTATAATGAGTAACACCCAAGAGGGAAGGAGAAGTTTTTTATCTATGTTAAAAAAACTCTAGACTAGGTATTGAGGGAGAGAGACAAAGCACCAAATATGAGTGAGGTACAAGGAATGAAAATGTCATAATGGATTCCATTTTACTATGCTAACTAAATGCATCTAAAATTAAAAACAAAAACATGAGGAGTAAGTAACAGAACAATTACTCCTTTTTGAAGTATGTGTTAAATAAAAATGTCATGAGTAAGGAACTGTCAATAGTGTATATACATGCATATACATATATAAAACTTTAAAAATATTTTGTGTGAGCTGGGTGGTAGTGGTACACACCTTTAATCACAGCACTTGGGAGGCAGAGGAGGGAGGATCTCTGTGAGTTCAAGGCCAGCCTGGTCTACAGATCGAGTGCCAGGACAGGCCCCAAAGCTACAGAGAAATCCTGTCTTGAAAAACCAAAAAATAAAAACTAAATTTAAAAAACTTGTGTGAGTGTGTGGTCTAAGTACAGCTTTTGGGATTTGACTCTCTCCTTCTATCCATAACATCAAGTAAATTATCAAACCACTAGGCATGTGCAACAACCATTTTTGTTTGTTTTTTTAAGAAAGAATTTCTCTGTGTAACAGCCCAGGCTGGCCTTGAACTCACAGAGATCCACCTGCCTCTGCCTTCCAAGTGCTGGGATTAAAGAAGCGCACCACCACCACCACCACCACCACCAGGCCATGCAACAACCATTTTTACCAGCTGAGCCATCTCTCTAGCCTCATACTTTTTTTTTTTTTTTTTTTTTTTTTTTGAGGAGGATCTTACTATATGTAACTCAAATTGGTATCAAGCTTGATAATCCTCCTACCTCAGCTTCCCCAGTGCTAGGATTACAGGTATGTGGCACTGTGACTTGTAAGGGTATATGTTTTGCAGCCTGGGCTAGATAGTGAAATCAAGGCCAAAGGGGTATATAATTTGAAACTAAGTAGTACCAGGCAGAATTTCAACTCCACCGCTGTGATAATTTATTTTATGTGTCAAATTGATTAAACACTGTTTCTGGGTGCATCTATAATGATATTTCAGGATAAGATTAGCAGCATTTGAACCAGTGGACTCACTAAAGGGGACTGTCTTCCCAAAGTGGCTAGTTATCAGCCCAACTCTGGGAGGCCTGCACAAAAAGTAAAGGAAGGGGGAAATTAACCTCCTCACTGTGTGTGCTGGGAAATTGTTAGCATTTAGGCATCTGCGCTGGTCTGTCCATGGGGTCCTGAAAGGATATATCCTCAGCTGCAGCCACTAAGAGCACCACCTGTCTACATTCACCATGTTTTCTCTTAAGAAGTGGGCCTTGCCTGCCTTCTGTCTTTCTCTCTTCCTAGCTGCTTCTTTCTTTTGCTACTCTTGTCCCCAGGACTAGCCTGTGACCTCCTCTCTGCTCCTTCCCTCTCCTCTTCAATACACCTCCCATGAGAGCCCTGTTTCCACCATTTCTTTTTTAAATTATAACAGAAATGCCCTGCCTGCAGGGGCTCCCATTTTTCAGGCTCAAAACTCAGAACTACACTCCCAGCTTTCTTAGGAAGACAGTCACAGTCATAGTACCAGACCTTTCAGTCTCTTGAACCACATCAGTCTGTTCCCTACAATATTTTTATATCCATCTAAACATTAGTTCTGTTTCTCTGGGGATCCTTCAGAAATACAACCCCTGATCAGCTGTGATGGCTGACCTTCATGGCCAACCTGACTGGGCTCAGAGTCACCCAAAGGGCTGAGGGACACCCTTGGGCGACGTGCTCTGGAGGATGAATGGAGCAGGGAGAACCATCTCGTAATACGGGTTGGGGCACAGAGGGACTAAAGGAAAGGAGATAGCAGACAGCCAATCTGAGCTGTTCACTGCACCTTTCCATCCATGGTAGACAACAGACAGACTATGAAGCCATGAAGCCATGAGCCCATTTCTTTCCTCCCTTAAGTTTTTTCTGTGAGGTATTGTCCAGAGATGTCCAAGTAATTAATACTCAGCACAATGAACTGGGGAGAAACTGCTTATCAGAATACCATTAGCCCACAGGAGTTTCTCAACAGGAATGAGTAAGTTACACAAAGCAATTACAGGGGTCTACTGTAATTAGTGCTAGAATCGCAATAGTACATTTGTAGCTGTTAAATGGATCTGAGTACCACTAGTGTTTCTCAGCACTGAACACAGCTGCTTTAAGTCACTTTACCATGGCATGTAAATGGTAGAGTGTCAATCAACACCATGTCATCTGGGAGGGCATGAGTTGGAAGATGTTTCTGCAACTCTTTAATGATGTGGTCCTTTACTAAACCAACTTTGGATACAACGAAGAGAATCAGCTTTTCCTGATTATACCATGTAACCGCACAGGAGTCCACCTGGTCAAGTTCTTCAGCCACCTGTAAGAAAGATTTCCTCATTTACTAATGGGGACATCTACAAAGGGGCTCCTGAATGCTTGGATTTGTTATGTCTAAAATGAGTACAACTAAATTAACTTCCAGAAAATACCTGACATTTTTTTTTAATTGCTTGCTATTGGTATCTACTACTAACAGTTACCATTTTCAAAAACAAACAAACAAAAAAAAACCATTCCAAAGCAAATAAACCAATGTATTTTCATAGCCACTTCCTTTATTTTTATGTATGTGTGCCTGTGTGAGTTTTTGTGCACCACGTGAATGCAGGTGCTAGAGGAGGCCTGAGGGTGCTGGATCCTCTGCAACTGGAGTTACAGAAAAAGGCTGTGAGCTGTCTGACGTGGATGCTAGAAGGCAAAACCTGGGTGGATCCTCTGCAAAAGCAGTAAGCACTCTAACCACTGACATCCATCTCTCCAACCCCTTATTTATTTTAAAAATGGCCATCTCAGGTGGGTAGTGGTGTCGCACACCTTTGAATCCCAGCACTAGGGAAGCAGAGGCAGGTGGAGCTCTGTAAGTTTGGGGTCAGCCTGGTCTACAAAGTGAGTACCAGGATCAAAGGCATTTGCCACCATATCAGATAGTGATTTATTTTTTAAGATAGGATCCTGCTATGTAGCTCAGGCTGGCCTTAGGCTCATAACCCTCAGCCTCCTGAGTGATGTTCACAAGCATGCATCACCACACCTAGCTCCATATTTTTATTATAATTAAGTATGACTATAAAGATGTGAGCTTTAGATGGTACCAATCAATAATCTGGCATAGAAGTTTGGTGGCAGCTGTCTTTACTGCCTAACACACCAGTAGATATTTAATGTAAGTGCTCTACCTGTTGTACAAGCTCAAGGTTAAGACGTTTGCCATGACGCTTGATCTGGCTGTCCTTTCTTCCCAAGAAAAATATCTCTCCATCATTCACAGTCACAAAGTCTCCTGTGGCTCGCATGGTGCCAAGAGGCACTGTCATTTCATCATCAAGAAAACATACTCTGTTTTCCCCACCTTTCAAAGACACAAACCCCAATGTCATAAAATTAATTTATCATTATCAAAATCAAAGTACCTCTAAAACTCTATATCTAAGACTCAAACCTTCACTATATTAAAATGAGGAAATACCTAAATGCTACTACCTATGCTACCTGATAAAATTAAACATAGAAAAGGGTAAAACTATTTTTAAAAATATGTATGATTTTTAAAAAATCCTTAGAATATTTCTAGATAGTTTTGTCTACAAGAAAACTTTATGTTTCTAAATTATTGGAAACTGCATGTGAAATAATTTGGGTAAACACTAAATATCTCCTGATTATGTAAAGATTAAAATTTATCACTGAAAAGTGCATGCTACATTAAAAATAAATCATGAAATAAACATCTGATTTTTCTTTTTGAACAATCAACCAGGAAATATACACCAACCTAAAAATACTTGGCCGGTGCCTTCATGAACTGGGGAACCATTTGTGTCTCTGACTTCAACCACCGTTCCAAGTAGTGGAGAACCCAGCTGCACAGGAGATTCATGTCTGTGAAAACATAGCCCAGAACATGCTTAAAATTCACATGTGAGCAGACTTCCCAGTTTATCAAAAGCACACTACAGCAAATAAAGACAAAAACAGTTTATGGTACAATTCAAAGACCGCCAGAGGAAATGGTTTAGCATAAAGGATATCTTGTGTTACCTGTTCAGTCACAAAAGGGTGTGGCAGGATCTTATCACCAGTTATAAGATTTTGGATTCTTAACTTGAAACTGTGTTAAAAATTATCACTACAGTACCTGACAAATTGTCCTGGCACAGGGCGTGCTTAGGATGCACCAACCATCGCCTTTAACAGCCATCAAATACATCTTCCATCCCCCAAACAAAATTCTTAAATCCCTAGTGTAGAACAAAGCCCTTACTTTACAGGAGAATTAAGAATCTCATCCGGGATCCTGTAGAACATCGCCCAACTGGATACCTCTGTGATACCATAAATGTTAAATATTCGTGTTTTATTGCCTTTGCCTCTCCAGCTTTTGAGAATAGTCAGTGAGGGGAAGGCTTCCCCACCGAGGGCTAGCACTCTCAGAGAACTGTGTTCTGACAAGACAGTGGACTTGAGGAGCTCACAGCCAAATCTTCTCAGCAATGTTGGCGTTCCCTGGAAACACATTAAAATCACTTAGTTTTCTCCTTCCTTCTGTAAGCACTATAATAATTCATACTTGTATTTGGAGCCCATATGGACATTGAAGCTGTGTTTTTCTTTTGTTTGTTGTTTGGTTTTTTTTTTTAAAGATTTATTTCTGTGATAGAAACTGAACCCAGGTCCTCTTCAAGAACAGCATTTGAACTTGTAATGGGTATGACAGCAAGCACAAAATTTATGGAAGCCCAAGCCAGAAAAAATCCCAGTATGGAGAGGGGACTTAGGCACAATGTCCCACCCCTAGCCAAGGAGCTACTGGCAACTGTCAGCTGCTGAGAGGGTCAGTTTTCTCTTAAGAGTGTAGCCCTAGTAAACTGACCATGTGTCAGTGAGAGGTCACACATCCAAGAATATTTGGGCTGCACAAATCAGCCTTTGTGGAGGTTTGAATGAAAATGACCCCCTTAGGCTCATAGGGAGTGGTACTATTAGGGGGTGTGGCCTTGTTGGGGAAGGTGTGACTTCACTGGAGGAAGTGTGACACTGGGGGTGGGCTTTGAGGTCTCAGATGCTCAAGCTGGACCCAGTTTCCCTCTGTCTTCTAGCTGAGTGCTGATCCAGATGTAGAATTCTTAGCTGCCTCTCCAGCACCGTGTCTGCCTGAGTGCCACCTTACTTCCCACCATGACAATAATGGACTAAACCTCTGAATTGTAAGCCAGCCCCAGTTAAATGTTTCCTTCTCAGCAATAGAAGCCCTAATGCTGGGGGGGGGGGGGGAGAAACACAATTGAGTAGGTAGGGAAGAAGACTATGAAGACTCAGGGAGGGAGGGTGAACATGATCAAACAGGAATGAAATTCTCAGTAAAAAATATTTTTAATGATGGGGAAGGTATGGTATGTGATGAGCATGAGTGTACACATGCAGGCCACAAAAGGATATCCAGTGTCTTCCTCCACCATAGGTTTTTGATCCTGAAGCTGACCATTTCAGCTAGGCTAGATGGATTAGTGAGCTTCCAGGACCCACCTGCCTCAGCCCCGACACTGAGAGTCAGGCATATGTGGCATGCCTGGATTTTATGTGGGCACTGTGTTGTAATTTAAGAAAAGCAGTGCACGAGATAGAGATGCCATGAGACAGGGTTCAAGCAGAGGAGTTTTGTTTTGTTTTTATTAGAGAAAGGGATCATAAAAAGGGAGAAGGGGAGGAGGGAGACCGGCCTCCAGAGACAGAAGCAATAGAAGGAAAGAGGAGGAGAGGGAGGAAAGAGGGAGAGGAGGAGGGAGGGAGAGAGGAGGATGGGAGGTGGGCAGGGCCCTTTTAAAAGGTGGTGGTGCTCTTAGTGGCTGCAGCTGAGGTCGTATCCTGTCAGAACTCCAAGAACAGGCCAGTACAGATGCCTCAATACTAACATTCCTCCCTTTTTATTTATTATAAAAAGGTAAGGAGTTAGAAAGGGGTAGCAGGCAGGGATGAGGACACCATGTACTCAAAACTACTTCTTGCTGACCTGGGGGAGCCTTCGTACATCTTTGGGAGACCTGGGAAAGTTGGGGTGCTAACCATGTCCTGGAGTAGCTGGCTGTTTCACTTCACTGTCCAGGCTCTGTGGAACTGTCAAGGTGCCTCCTGGACCTGGTAAAATGTCGTTCTTGGTGGGTCCAAATCGACTCCCTAGGACTTAAAGTACCTGATCCTTTCCCATACATCATCACAGCATCACCTGGACATGTTTGGTTATATTGGGCCTCCAACAATATGGGCAACAGCTAGTAGTCCTGCAACAATAGCTGATTATGAATGGGCCAGTGGGTCTCCAAAAAACATCCCAACGGGAGCAAGGAGGTATACATGATGACACAACTCCCTTGAGTGAGGCAGAGAAGACCCAAGGGTCTGCAATTGCTAACGGCCCCAGTTAAATATTTCCTTCACAGCAAAAGAAACTTTAAGTAAGACAGCCTTGAGGGGAATTCAGAAAGGGCCGATTTCGAGACAGGCATAAGCCACCCAGTGAGTGGTCACTCAAAGGGTGGAGGCCACGGGCTCTGAGTCCAAGAGAGGCATAGTTACCTGGTACCACGACTTCACGAAAAAGACAGAAGGCAAAAAAGGTACTGTGCTCAAGAAAAGGAGCCTCATATCCAGCGGAATGGTCAGAAGTGGATAACACCACCAGAGACCCAATAGTTGGTATTGAATGGAAGGCAAAGCAATCAGCAAACGAGAAAGCAGATTTGTTGCAGGTGGAAGAGATCGGATTTATTGAAGGAGAAGCAGGTGGGTAGGGTCCCAGCATGAAGTGATTACAAAGTGCTGGGGAGTGGATCTTATGGTGGGCTTATTCCACATCAGTGAGGCAGAACAGAATCCAATGGCTTTTATCAAGAAGGATCAAGTGAGAAAGGCACAGGCCACCTTGGTGATTTGTCGATCAAGGGACCAGACCAAAGGCCCAGAGGGTCCCAGACTGGCACAGGACACCCAGTGGATCATCACGAAAAGGGCTCTCTGAGAGCCCAAGAGAGCCATGGTTGCCTGATACCAGGACTTAACTAGACAGACCAAAAGGCGAGAAACCAGGCTCGAGAGACCAGAGGAGTCCTCACTCGTGGTAATAGTGGGGAAGATGGAGGGGCTCACCAGTCATGACGATTTTGGATAGAAGGACCCAGCAATCCGGAGAAGCGGGCTGTGGTATGTGAACCACACTCCAGGATCCTGGGGTGCCTCAAGCTGCCTGCGGGCAGGAGGAAGACACCAGGAGAGCCTTTCCCGGTCAGGGAACCAATGTTGTAATTTAAGAAAAGGAGCATGAGAGAGAAAGATGCCATGAGACAGGGTTCAAGCAGAGGGGTATTTTATTAGGGGAAGGGATCATAAAAAGGGGAAAGGAGAGGGGGGAGACCAGCCTCCTGAGACAGCAACAGGAGAGAGGTATGAGGCGGGAGGGATAAGGGGAGAGGGAGAAAGAGAAGAGAGCCAAAGACAGAGAGGGAGAGAAAGAGAGAGGAGGGTCGGAGGTGGGCAGGGCCCTTTTAAAAGGGAATGTAATGAATGTGCACAGGTGGTGCTTTTAGTGGCTGCAGCTGAGGGTGTATCTGTGAAAACCCCAAGGACAGGCCAGTACAGGTGCCTGAATACTAAGACACTGGGGACTTGAACTCGTGATCTCTCATAAAAAGTGCTCTTCCATACTAAGACATCTCACACCTCTCCAGTTCCATATCCTTTCTTTGTTTTTTTTTTTTTTTGTTTGTTTGTTTGTTTGATTGATTGATTGGCTTTTGCTTGTTGGTTTGTTTTTTTGAGACATGGTTTCTCTGTGTAGTCCTGGCTGTCCTGGAACTCACTTTATAAACCAAGCTTGTCTTGAACTCACAGAGATCTGCCTGAATCTGCCTCCCAAGTGCTGAAATTAAAGGTGTGCACCACCACCACCCAGTTCCTTCATTTGTTTTTATCTACATGACTCTATGTAGCTCAGGCTGACTTTGAACTCACTATGTAGCAGAGCCTGGTCTTGAGCTCCTTATAGGAAACCTCCTAAGTATTGATATTACAGCAGATGTTAACACACCTGATTCTTAGCCACTTGTAATGGAGTAATTAATACTAGCTTTTAGTAGGAAACACAATGTGAGAGAAGATACCCCAACAGCACATACATAATCAAAGTCAAGTTCCTCCACCTGTACTACAGGTGAATGCAGTTTATAATTCTCTAGGCATGACTAGATGATTTCTCTTTCATTTAACAATAAACATGTGCCCTCGTAAGGTGGCAGCCTTTGATGAGCTACTAGGAAGAACTACAGAAATACAAAGCAGCCTCTAAAACATGCAACATTAGAGGAATGTAGAAGAAAACGTTTCTGTTGCTACCCAAGTGTACCTGCAAAACAGTCACTCTGTGGCAGGAAAAGAGAACGTCAGCTAATTTTGATGGCAGCACTTTGACAGAAGTTGGCACGATAAGCAGACAGGCCCCACTGGACAGAGAAACAAATATTTCCACCACAGATGGATCAAAGGTCAGAGGTGAAGCCAGAAACAAAACATCTTCTTGAGTGATGTCAAAAAGTAACCTAGAGACAAACAACATAGTGGTCATAAGAAACACCTAAGCCTGAGTAAGCACAGACCCCAAAGAAGCATTAAGTAGGGACTGAAGAAATGGCTCGGGGGTTAAAAGCACTTCCTGCTCTTGCAAAGGACCCAGGTTCAGTTCCCAGCACCCACATGGTAGTTCACCACCATCTGAAATTCTCATTTCAGGGAATTCATACCTTCTTCTGATTTCCACAACATATATGCAAGGAAAACATTCATACACATGAAATAAAAAGATAAATCTAGAGGAGGAAATCAGCATCAATGTCATCATCAAGGAGAACACATTTTTCTAGATGCTTCAGACTTCATTCTTCAGATTAACCAAACCAGCCCTGTTGATCCTTAGAAACCCTCTTTACAAAGAGCAGGACTGAAAACCCTTAGCAGGGTGTAGTAGCGCACACCTATAATCCCAGCACAGGGAAGGCAGAGGAAGGGATGAACCTCTGGGAGTTTGAGGCCAGTCTGATCTACATAGTGAGACCTGTCTCAAAAAATTTAAAAATAAATAAATACATAGAAGAAAGCCCTTTAAATACCATTTCCCCCTCTTCTTACCAGACAGGCTTTATCATCTGTGACTACCTTGTGATATGTTGATTTAGATATAGTGAACTACAACCTCCAGAATTCTCTTTCTACTATGCTTTCATTTTGGCTTTGATTTGTATTTTTGGTGTTTTGTTTTTCTTTTGTTTTTTAGAGACATTGTTTTGCTATGTAGCTCTGGCTGTCCTGGAACTCACTATGTAACCCAAACTGACCTCAAACTCACAGCAATCCTCCTGTTTCAGCCTTTCAATAGCTAGGATTACAAATGTGAATCACCAGCTATATGGGTTTCGCTTTAAGGGGGAAGTTAGAAACTAGAAGGCTGGCAGCTGCCACTTAGTAAAGTACACACTCTGAGAGTTGTAAAGTTGAACATTCCAGTCCGCAATCAGCTGAGTTTTATCAAGCCAGAAATGGCTGGATTTCTCCTTAGTGAAAAACCAAACAGGGCCAGAGAGATGACTTTCATGGTCCAGAGCACACTGCTGCTCCATCACCTACGGACAGTTTGGTCCAGCTAACTCCAGCTCGAAAAGGCAGCAAAGTCTCTGGTCTCTGCATGCACATAACATACTCACAAGTAGATACACACATACACACCTCATTAAAAACAAATTAAAGTAATTTGTAAAAACAAGCAGCAGCTGCTACTGGGTCTACAGTTAATTTCTCACCCCACCTGACTGTGTTTTCTGACTATGCTGTGGACAGTCTCATGCCTGTGGAGCTTCAGACTTCGATTCTCTCTTAGCTGTGTACTCTGTGGCCTCCACACTTTCTCAACTGGGAGCCAGTTCTTTGTTAATAATCCACTCTTATATTCTGATTTCCTTTCAGCAGATTCCTTCTGTTTACTTTTCATTTTATTTCTCAAGGCTGTGTGTATGTGTGTGTGTGTACATATGTGCATTGTTGCACATATACAAACATATAAGGGGAGAATGTTAGCAGCCAGAAAATAAGAACTGGAGTCATAAGCATTTGTGGGATGCCCAGCTTGTTACATGGGCCCTGGGATCAGTACTCCAATCACACATGCACTCAAATTTGATTTCTGTCTTATCATTTGTGTGTTCTGTCTGTTAACAAGTGCATGCCTTGTCTGAAGAGGACTAAAGACAATATACAGATCAAACAAGACAGATTCACTCATCAGTTATTTAGGATTATCCATTTAGATCAAGATTTACAAAGAACAAATATTTAAAATTACTTTTCTTTTTTAAAATGCAAGATTTTGTTTGTTTTTGTTTGTGAAACAGGGTTTCTCTGTGTGACAGCCCTGGCTGTCCTGGAACTTGATTTGTAGACCAGGCTGGGCTTGAACTTAGAAAGGTCTGTCTGAATCCAGAGTGCTGTGAAAAAGGCATGAGCCACCACTGCCTGGCTAAAATGTAAGATTTTTATTTTTCTGAGATACAGTGTCTCTCCACAGCACAAACTGGCCTCAAACTTGTAATCTGCCTCTGCCTCTCAAATGCTGAGATATCTGGGGAGTCCCACCACACCCAGCTTAAAGCACAAATTCTAAGGATTCAAATGACAGAACTGACCGGAAGTGCTGGACGTTTGGTAGTATGCATGCATGAGGCACTCTGACAATCTTTGGCGTCCCTGTGGTCCCCGAGGTATGTAGGACATAAGCCAAGCAACACTCTTGCCGAATGTCCATATGTGGCTTCTGTTTGCTGTTGTTCTCAGAGTTCATGCTGGTTTTTCTGTCATTTATCTCTTCTCTATCACTGAGCACCATCACCTCATCATTTTCCCAATGAAGTCTGCAGAGCACCAGGTCCTTATGCTCCACTGAAACTGTGTCATAGTTCAAAACTGTTTCATGTGAAGATTTGAATTTCTGTTAGAGAAGATATTTACAAATATTAACATGTTAATACAGAGAACGTTTGTTTTGTTGTTTGTTTGTTTGTTTTTTGAGACAGAGTTTCTCTGTGTAACAGCTCTGACTGACCTGGAGCTCACTTTATAGACCAGGCTGGCCTTGAACTCATAGAGATCTGCCTGCCTCTGCCTCCCGAGTGCTGGGATTAAAGGTGAGCACCACCACTGTCCATCAGAGATCACAGCTGAGAGAACTCATAAACTCAAAATATTCTTTCTTTCTCTCTTCCTCTCTCTGCCCCTCTCTCCCTCCCATTTCACACACCTCCAAAACACTTAACTCCAAGACTTACATTAGCCTGCTTTTTTTCAACGAGAACATACTTCAGACCACATTTTTTGATAAAGTGAGTTGATAATGACGGTGGTGAGTCTGGATCAATGGGCGCATAAGCTGCCGGGACCTGAAGAATCCTGAAGGACATGTGCAAGGTTAGCAGAGTGAATGAACTCTCCTATGAGTACTTTGCTGTCTCTGCTTCATTGTCCATCAGCAGCTCACAAGCTTTAGGGTCATGCCTAAGCATCCAATGAACATCTCAGGTATTGTAAAATTCTATTCTAACTTCTTGTAACTTGGGATTGGGATGTAGCTCAATTGTAGAGTTTGCTTAGCATGTACAAGTCCCTGGGCTCAATACTCAGCATTGAAAAAAGAGAGAGAGAGCTCTTAACACTCAATATTCAGAAATACAACATTTAAAAAGACTTAGCAAGGGCCTGGAGTGATGTGTTAGTGGTTTTCTTCTATCTAACAACAGTTATATAATGCTTTAGCTGGTTTTTAGCTGGTTTTTTTTTTTTTTTTTTTTTTTTTTTTGACAGACAAATGAGGCTTTTATACTTTGGAGATATTTAAATATTCTATTAGTGAAAACCTAAACTAAATGATTAAAATAATTAAATAACTAAAAATAATAACAGGATAAATGTGTACTTTAACTCCTTTAGAAAATTGACAAACTAATGCAAAAAAAATCCAACAGTAAACAGAATAGCTTACAATGTACACTATTTATTAAAAACTATAAATAGCTTAGAGTAATATCAGTTCATATTAGAAATATTACCCTAAAATCCAGGAGGGTAAATTTATCCCAGGTTGACAGTAGAGACCGATTTCCCGAATTCCTCCAAAGTCACAGTGTGTTAGCAGAAAATTCGATAATTGTGTAGCCTCACTCAGCAGAGTCTTGTAGGTGTAACACACTGGAGGCTGGTTGTTGCCTTCATCAAAGCATACAGCCTTTCTGTCCAAATACATGGAAGCAGCATGGTGTACCAACTCTTGCAGAGTCATTGTGCTGAGGTTTGTCTGAACACCAGTGGCCAAGAAATCTACAGAGAGAAATGTTAGGAGTTAGGGGAGTAATTGGGAGGTGAGGAAGAATTGTGTCTACTAGCAAAAATGACTATATTATCTGAGGGTCTATGTCAGTGACAGATGTATTGCCAGTGTGACCCCAAATTCTATCCCCAGCACTGTAGAACAACAAATTGAAAGGAAGTGCCCAGATAAAAGCTATATCTATGTTAAAGATTCTGCAAGGCAGGCTGACTGATGAAAATGTTATGAGTCTGGAGAGTTGGGATGCTGCATACTCAAACTATCTTGGGATATCTTGACAGGTTTATTGCCCGCCCGTGTTGTGGGATATCTGTACACTATGTGAAGATGTATTTTGCTGTTACTTGTATAATAAAAAACTGAACAGCCAATAGCTAGGCAGGAGGTATAGGCAGGATTTCCCAGGAGAGAGGGAGAGGAGAAGAATCTAGGCACAAGGAAGCTGCCAGAAGACATAGAGAGAAAACAGGATATGCAAGATGGAAAAGAGGTAATGCTATGTGATAGAATATAAATTAAAATAAATGAGTTAATTTAAGTTATAAGAGCTAGTTAGGAACAAGTCTAAGCTATATGTTGAGCTTTCATAATTAATAATTGTTCACGTCATTTTTTTGTGAGCTAACAGTCAAAGAAATATCTGTCTACACACCTGTCTACCCCAACATCCTCAGTGACTGTCAGCTGAAGCCTCTGTGGAGATAAGTGCCACAGCCTAGCTTCCACAAAGCCCAAAGCTAAGACTATCATCTGATAATATAATATGGCTTAGAATGCCATTTTCCTTGATTTGCTAGAATCTACCTACCTAATTCCCATCAAAGGATTTTGAAAATGCCTTGTTTTTTTTGTTTTTTGTTTTTTTTTTTTTTACTTTCCTCTGTCTTTCAATTATACAAGCTCACAGTCTGCTTCCGTGCTGGGACATGACTTTTCAGGGTAACCTAAACCTTTGCTCCTAGAACCTGATCACTTATATTTGGTTCATAATAAACTATCTCTTACTGTCCTTAAGGTAAGGGCAGTATTTTATGTTACTAAAACAAAAGGCTATATCAAATAAATATAACTGAAGCTCTAAACTTACAAAATACCTATGGCAACTTTACTGAAAACAAAGACTTAAAAAATTAATTTGTTAGTGGGAGGTGGGAGTGCATGTCTTTAATCCCAGCACTTGAGAGGTAGAGGCAGGTCGATATCTGTGAGCTCAAGACCAGCCTGGTCTACAGGCTAGTTTGAGATAGAACTGTTACAGTCTTGAAAAAATAATAATTTGATGACAGTTGAACCAATACTGAACCAAAATGTAAAAAGAATATACATTTTAAGAATAACTAATAAAGGGGCTGGCTGGAAAGGTAGTTCAGAAGTTAAGCACACTAGCTGCCAAAGGACTGAGGTTCAATTCTCAGCATCTCATGGCAGCTAATAAGCATCCTAATTCTAGCTCCTAGTAATCCTACTGTCTATTCTGAACCCCGAAATGAATATGTACACATATATGCATTCAGGGAAAACATTCATAGACAGAAAATAAAAATAAATAAGTATTTTTTGTAGATTTACCTTGTGTGTATGAATTTTTTGCCTGTATGCCTGTTGGATCCCCTAGAACTGGGGTGGTAGATGGCTGTGACATACCATGTGGGTGTTGGGAATTGAACTCAGGTCCTTTTCAAGAGCAACAATATCTTAACCACCGAGTCACTGCTCCAACCTAAAATAAATAAATCTTTATAAAAAAAATTTTTAAAGTATAAAGAATTAATACATTTAAATTTAAAGCACATCACTTAATTTTTTACTTTCCTCCAGTTTTTGTTACAAATTAATATAAAGTGGTCAAGTTCCTATATGGTGACTTTAAAATAACTTATATAAGTCTACTTTTAAATTCCTGTGAGAATTAAAGAAGACAAAAATCTTTTTTTTTTTTGGAAATGATGGAGATTAAATTCTGGGCCTCAAGCTTGTTAGGCAAGCACACATCATTGAGTTATTTCCCCAGATCCCAAGTCAATCTGTAACAGAAAAACAAACAATAAAGATTTCTCATTGGACTATCCAATTATAGCCCACTAACTATAAAACAGTGTTTATCATCTATCATGTTTTAAAGACCTTTTAAAATTGCAAGAAACAAACTCTTCACAACTATTTCATGTAATTTTTGAAGTGGCCAATAGATTCTTTTACATTTAGGTCTTAAATATGGTATTAGGAGTTAGTGCAGCATTAGACTATGCCAATATGTCCTTGATTGCCAAGCCAACCCTTTAAGTTCAGCAGGCAGAAGGCAGAGGCTAGCTTAGTCTACACTGTGAGTCCCAGACCAGGTAAGGGCTACATAATGAGACCCTCTGTCAAAAAAAATTTGGTTTTTAGATTAAAAGTTTCAAATAGTATTTCATTAAAAAAAAAAAAAAAAAAAGCTAGGCATAGTGGTGTATGCCTCTAATTCTAGTTGGTTAATCCCAGGCACAGACGGGTGGAATGAGGCCAGAGACCAGCCTGGTCTATATAAAGAGCTCTTGAACAGCCAGGGAGATACATAGTAAGTTCCAGAATAGCCAAACCAAACCAACCAACCACTGGTGATCAACACTAAAAAATATATTAGAACTATTTTCTTTGAAAGCAAAGATCTTCTGAATCAGAGAAGATCAAGTATCCTATTTTAATTAGTCTAGTTCTTTTTTATTTATTTTCGTGTGTGTGTGTGTGTGTGTGTGTGTGTGTGTGTGTGTGTTTCGAGACAGGATTTCTCTGTGGCTTTGGAGCCTGTCTTGGAACTAGCTTTGTAGACCAGGCTGGCCTCAAACTCACACTCTGCTATTCAAGTGCTAGGATTAAAGGCGTGTGCCACCGCCGCCCAGCAATTATTCCAGTTCTTTAATTGTACTTACTGATTCAAAAACTGAATTAATTTTCAAATGTCATTTAATTAACATCAAGTTGATTAAAGAATGGGGCTTCTTAAACCCTTAAAATTGAAAATGTCCAAAAGGGTGCCAAAAAAATGAAATGTGATTTCTAAGTATCAAATTTAAAAATAGAAAATAATTTTAATACAGATGGTATTGATGGTATTTTTCAATAACAATTTTATGTTTGTTTTTTCTTTTGTTTGTTTTTGCTTTGTTGAGACCGGGTTTCTCTGTAGCTTTGGAGACTGTTCTAGAACTCACTCTGTATGTAGACCAGGCTGGCCTCAAACTCTGAGATCCGCTTGCCTTTGCCCCCAGAGTGCTGGGACTCATGTGCCACATCGACCTCCACCCCCTGGGCATAAATATTTCTATAAGTACTAACTTTTTCAATACACCTGCTATTTTTGCTTGCATATGAACCAACTAAAAGATTTCCTTAAATACCCAATTGTCCACATTATGAATTAATTATACTTGTTTTTTAAAAAGCTAGCCTGGACCTGGAGATACCTCTCAGAAGTTAAAGAGCACTTGTTCTTTCAGAGGACCCAGGTTCAATACCAGCAGTCCATAGTTCCAATTTTGGGGGATCTGACACACTCAGAAGATATCAGGCATAAATATGATGCACTTACATACATGCAGGTAAAAACACCCTTATGTAGAATTTTTTAAAAATCTGCTGGAAAGTTGCTTTTCCTCCAGAAAGCAAACACATGTATAACTGTTCTTACAAGAAAATGTAATTCAATAACATACTTCACAACAGTGGAATAACAGGGCCATAAACTAAGTCCGTAAAGAGAGAAAGTGTCATTTTTACAAAAACTTTAAAACTCACCACACAATAATCTGTACAAGTAAGTTTTTTTACTTTGAATTTACAAGTTCCCAGTGGCAAAATTCATTCAGTCTTGTGTAGGTTTTCATTTCAGTTACTTAATTTAGACATATGTATTTCTTTCTCTCTCCAATAAACAGCATCACTTATTCTATGCTCATACTTGGGTCAGCTAGATGGCTTAGGCGATAAAGAAACTTGCCATCACCCCTAAAAACCTGAGTTCGAACCGTGTGGCCCACAAGATGGAAGGAGAACCAACTCTTGAAGGTGTTCTGTGACTTCCTCAAGCATGCTGCTCCCCACAAATACTTCAATTTTAAATACATAAGAAAATAAAAACGAGTCAACTCTAACTTTTTAAAGGGGGCCTTTCAGCACCAGCAAAAGGACAATCTAACAAGATTCCGGGTTATACCTTCAAGCTTAAGCGGATGTAAATGATGCCAGTTGTTGGTGACCAAAAAATCCTGCTTTTAAGATAGATCTCTGTATGTATTGGGCATAATAAATACTGGTAAATTATCCATCTGCGTCTAGATAGACATCACGCAGCTTTAGTTGACAGTGCACCTCGTGCCTTCCAAAAATCTTTCACTGGCTCTCGGGGCCACGCTAGGAGGTGGCGAGGAAGGTGCACTGCATTTCACTGATGGGCAGTGGGTGCAGGCGGGTGACCCAGGACACCACACAGCGCGAATTAGCTTGCCAGGCCCACAGGTTCCACGCCGGCCCGGGAGGCTCCCGAAGTTGGGCGGACTCGAAAGGAAGCAACCCTGCCTTCTCAGCACCCCACGTCCCATGGCTCCTGCCCCACCTTTTCACAACAGCCGAGTGCACTTTCTAGCGAGCAGCAGAAGCCCAGCAGCCGTAAAGCTACCTCGCCACCGGGTCTCGCGTCATCTTCTGGCGCCAGTGACGTCACACCAGCGTCGGGGGCATGGGTCTGTCAACGGGGCTCCGCCCAGATGCGCCGCGTGATCCGGAAGGGCGTGGGGACGCGTTTGTGGCCAAAGATTTGGTCTGTGCAGGCTTAGACCTGCCTTACGATACACTCCAGGCAACACACTTGACTGTTTCTATGTGCGCGCTTTGCATGAATTTATGTGCACCGTGTGCGCACAGGTGCGAACAGATTCCCTGGCGCTACTGTCACTCTAGGTTGTGAGCCACCACGTCGGTGCCGGGACCCAAAAGGGACCTCTGGAAGGGCAGTGAGCGTGAGCCGCACTCTCCTAGTTCCTTAAATGGGGGTAAAAATAGCCCAAAAGGCTGAAGTGAAGAAACCACCCCCAAATTCGAGCCAGTCTGAGGTGAACAGCGCTCTCTAAATCTAAATACGTGTGTTTCCAAGGGCGACAATTATTACAATAAGCGTGAATGGTCATGTAATGGGCTACTGAGCTCCAGCAGAGAGGAAACGAGCAGGGAATTTTGTTTCTGTGTTCCTGGTGGGAGGTGAGAGAGCAGATGAGCATCCACCAGAACCTGAAAAGGCACAGGGGTGTGTCCTTGTCTCCTGAAGGACAGAAGCTGCTGTACCGAACCTTGCAAGAAATACCCATTTGGAAACAGCATTTTCCCAGTGTACTGAAAGCATCTCTAAATGCCTTGTTAGTGACTTTGTTTTTTGTTGTTGTTGTTTGCTCGTTCTAGTTAGCTTTCTGTTGCTGTGATAAAGCATCATAACCAAAAACAACTCGGGGAATCAATAGTTTATTTCCTCGCACTCCACTACTAAGAGAAGTCAGGACAGGAACTCAAGGCCAAAATCTGGGGACAGGACCTGAAGCATTAAGTAAAGAAATGCTGGTTACTGGCTTACTCCCCATGGCTTTCTCAGCCTGCTTTTTCTTTCTCTCTTTTTGTGTATCTTAAATAATTTTATTATGTGTATGGGTGTTTTGCCTGCATGTTTGTCTGTGCACCACGTGCATGCCTGGTGCCTGAGGCCAGAAGAGAGTCATGCCAGATCAAGAACTAGTTAGACAGGTGTCAGTCACCCTGTGTGTGTTGAGAATTAAACCTGAGTCCTTTGGAAGAGCAGCCAGTACCTTAACCACTGGGCCAGCCCCCAATCTGTTTTCTTATACAACCCAGGCCCAGGGGTGCAGTTGCCTACAGTGGGCTGGGCCCTCCCACATCAATCATTAATCAAGAAAAATGTTCAACCTCAAGTAAGTATTTTCTCAACTGAGAGTCCCTTTCCACATGACTCTAGCTTGTGTCATGCTGACAAAGAACTAGCCAGCACACTTGTCTTTGCCTCTATAGAAATTACACACCATCTTTTATCTGCCCACTGAACTACCTCACCTCTTAACCTCGCTTGTTCACTTAGATGCTCTGGTGTTATAGCCTCTGACTGTCTAGAACTGCCTGGAGCTAGATCTCAAAGGTGTATTCAAATTCCTTACTCCCAGAGGCTTTCAAGCATTCCTAGCAAAGGTATTTAAGTATATATGTCCAAAGGGGTACCTTTCTATTGGTTCAGGTTTTGGATGCATTTTACTAAAGCCTTTCTTTCCATTATTGCATTCATTAAGAAACTCTTAGCTGGGTGGTGGTGATGCATACCTTTAATTCCAGCACTCAGCAGAGGCAGGAGAATCTGAGTTGAGGCCAGCCTGGTCTGCAGAGTGAGTTCCAGAACAGGGTCCAAAGTTACGGAGAAACCCTGTCTCCAGAAAACCCCCAAAAGAAACACTTAACCTCATCCTACAGATGTTTGATTTTTTTACTTTTTTTTTTTTTTTTTGAGATATGGTTTTACAACATAACCTATGTTGACCCAGATGTTCAAAAACCTCCTGCCTTCCCAGGTGCTGGAATTATAGGCCTCTTTCAGGCCAAGCCATTTCTCTATTAATGCAAATGTTCTCACCAAGGATCTTAAATTGGGTTGGTTTTCTCCACTGACTTTAAAGGACAGGAACTAACAACTCACTTACTGCAAAAAAGTTTTATTAAAAGGCAGAGTTTTTAGTGGTACAAGATGGGTCCTCCTCTCATTTTGGACTGGCTAACTTAAATAAAAAGGAGACAATGAACAGAGCTTTGTGCAAGTGGAGGCATGTCCAGAACTGACCTTGGGCATATCTGGGCAGGTCAGCCAAAAGTGAAGAAAGCTCACCAGACTTTGTTCGACATGAAGAAGCAATCTTGGCACTTATCCACAGCCTCTTTTCCCGTCTGTCTGCCAGCTGGGGTTCTTATCTACCTGTAGTTGTTTTATTTTTTAAACTCTTTGAGGCCCCACCACCCAGCTCCCAAATAAAGATGCAGAGACTTACTTATGAAAGACCAGCCTCAGTTTGGCTTATTTCTAGCCAACTTTTCTTCACTAAAATTATCCCATCTTTTGCCTCTGGGCTTTTACCTTTCTCTATTCCATATACCTTTCTTTACTTATTCTGTGGCTGGCTTCTGGCATCCTCTCTTGTTCTCTTTCTCTGAAACCTAGATTTCTCCTGTCTATTCCTCTCTCCTGCATAGCTTTTAGCCATTCAGCTCTTTATTAGAGCATCAGGTATTTTAGACAGGCAAAGTAACATAGCTTTACAGAATTAAACAAATGCAACATAAAAGAATGAAACATGTTTTTGCATCATTGAACAAATACTACACAGTGTGAAGGAATGTAACACAAATTATTAACATTCCACAACATCTACCGTCAAAATTTACATTTTCCCCTTTCCATTTCCTCTTCCCAGTTGCTCCTTTTTTCCTCCTCCTGGTTTTTGACTTTTTCATGTTAGAGGCTTTTCTAGAATGTGTAATGATCCATGACCATCCATACCTATTTTAAAGTTTTCTCCAAATCAAGAAGGGTTGCAGAGGGTCAGGTGCATCTCAATTCAGTATTTGTTCATTACTGTTTGAGTTGATACAGCATGGGCTGACCTTGAATTCCAGATCCCAGTGCCCACAGATCTACACCACACATTTTCTGGTATGAGGTACATGAAATTGAAACAGACTCAGGATTGAACAGAATAGTTTATTGTGGACTAACAGACCATGGTCCTAGCCACAGCCTGTGATTATATAATTATCTGGACAGAAGTGATTCCACCTGATTTATCTCATGCTAGTTATCAAGGAAGGTACATTCCTGGCACTGTCAAGGTCTGGGCTGGGAAGTTTCTGTCCACCTCTAAATGTCTTGTCTCCACATCCTAGGAAAGTTGGCAGGAATAGACCAGTGGTAGCCGGGACAATCTGATGGTTACTGTGGTCAGGGCTAACTGAATCCAAACGCCCAGACAACTGTCTCTCTAGCCTGATCTCTCATAGCAGACCATTACTCCCTACCCCCATGATCCACATTCCCACACAATTTACTATGTCTTTCACCATGAGTTGGTGGTAGGTCTTTTCCACTTATCAAGCCCTAATATTTCCACACCTGTTGGCCTGGATTTTTAGCTGAGAAAGCCTTCCCACTCCAAGGCTTGATGAACACTCTAAACTTCACTTGAGTAATGCCTCTAAGCCCCTAAAAATTACAAATACCTAACGCTCAAGTCATGACTCAGGAGAGAATTTTATGTTGCTGTATTTAGAATTCCCTCCTCGACAACTTGATGTTTTCTGTTGTCTCTCTTTGTCTAGCTAGACAACTAGTCAGTTGAAATCACTGAGTGTGATATTTTCAATCTTCCTTAACATGTTAATAAGCATCTAAATCTTGTGTTGCTTTACAGCTTCTTTTATGGTTTATCGAGACAGGGTTTCTCTGTGTAACGTTCTGGCTATTCTGGAACTCAAGACTGGCTTTGAACTTACGGAGATCCATCTGCCTCGGTCTCCCAAGTACTGGGTGGGATTAAAGGCATGGGCCACCACTTCAGGCAGAACCATATTGTCTAGATGTACTACTTTACCCACTTGTTTACTTTGTCTTTTCAAAGCCCTTTGAACACTCTGAACACCTAACCATGGCTCCCAGTGTTTCCAAAGAAACTGTTCTATATCGTGCTGACTTGGCATTCTATTTTCAAATTACTTCACTGCCCTTCTACTTGGCATAAGTTTGCACAGCTCATAAGAGATGGTCTATTTATTAAGATGCCTGACTCAGAGAAATAAGATCAGAGTAGCTGGTGCCAGGTATGGATTAATGTATTATTACCACTATCTTTAAAAAGCACACATGTAAACACATTTATTACATATAATTGTCACCAAAAAGAAAAAAAATGACAAAAAGGTATCAAAAAGTAGGCTTACATTAGTTTGTGATGTTAACTGTGTTCAAACACATTTTCCATATTTTTTCAGCATATAGTACTCTAGTTATATACATTTAGAGCAAATAAAAAGCGGCTGGAAACTGGTTAAAAAAAAAAGGTAATTTAATTCATATTCAGAAACTTGTAAAATAAAGGTCACGATGAATAATTAAGGAACGTCGTACAATTATCAAAGGATCTCAACACTATTTCCCTTTATAAAAGTATCCCAATAAAACAAAAAATAACACAAAAGTCAAATTAGAGATTTTGGTTTTAGTACCTTCCCTGAGTTTCTTTTTAAAACATCAAATTTAAATAAGGCCATTTTAAAACTGACCTAAAGGCTTACCCTCCATGCTGCCATGGCTAATACATTTACAGAAGAGGCTGTACCCACTGAACTGGCCCCAGGGCTGTACAATGCCAATCTGCCTATGTCTTTGTCACAGGTCACTTCAGTACATGGCCTTAAATTACTACCATTTTATCTTGACCTGTCATTATGTAACACACGAAACTATATACCAAATGCAAATGAATAATTTCAATTAATAAATACTATACTTCTAAATGGGGTTGGAAACTATACAGCAAATTTTGGCAATAATATAGAAATAATTATTTTTGTAAGTGAAAAATCTTACAAACATAGGAGTTAGTAAGCAATCATCTCAGTTCTCTAAGTCTGCATCATAAAAAAAATTAAAAATAAGAACTCACTAGACCTAACAAAACAAAGTAGAAAAGACATGATTATGAGCTGACACTTGGGTACAGGCAATCTGGTTTCCAAAATAGTGGCTGTCCCCTTAGCCATTAAACAAAATCAGCTCATATTCTATTGGCTCGATTTCAATCATATGCATGTATGTATACGAATACTCAAGTCTAATCAAATTATGAATAAAGGCTGACTTGGAATTAAAATTTTTGTTTTCTACTTCCAATGTTCTAAGCTATTTGCTAGACTTGTATTGTCAGACACTACAATTATCATTCACATCTTCTAGTCAAGTGTAAAAAAAACAAAACAAAACAAAAAAAGGGCTTCAGATATATTCTGGTGCATCCCAGAGAGACAAAGATCTGCAAACCTGTCATTTCCCTCTGTCATAATAAAGCTGCAAACAAATTTAGCAGATGCTAATGACCATGCACTGTTAAAATGCAGGGGTAAAATGATAGTTCTACTAAATACCTAACTGTGGCATGTATTCACATTTTCCTACTGTGTACTAGATACACAAATGTCTCATTAAATAAATGGGGGCTCCGAGGCAGAGAAAAACACATTATCTTGACTCAGGAAAGCCCAGATTCAAGAATCCCCTGCCCTAGAGCTTCCCAAGTAGTTTTCTTTCTTTCTTTCTTTCTTTCTTTTTTTTTTTTTTGGAGTTGTCCATTGGTCCCCAGAATTGTGTGTGTGTGTGTGTGTGTGTGTGTGTGTGTGTGTGTGTGTCCACACTGGCGGAGGGAAAAATCAATGTACACACAGGACATGAAATCTCCAGGCTTGACTTTATAGATTAGAACTCTATGGGGCACAATGAATTCAGATTTTTCATGGTATATTATAAAGCCCCAAATCTAACCTCTTGTAAACCCTTCAAGCATGGGCCTGGGAAATACCACTAACCTCCTGCCTCCTCCTAGGTGAAAAACGATCCTCGTATAAAAAGAATCCCTACATGTTGTATTACATGTAACCATCATGGTTTAATTATAGCAATTTAGTAACCTCAGAAATTCTCAAAGCTTATAAAGGTATACATACATAAGCAGGTATCTGGGTAACAGATAGTACGTAAACCACTTTGTGATCACTTTTAGTCTCAGGAACTCTGTCCTGGCAGCTACCATTCCAGTTCCACAGGGTACTGCCCAGTGAGGCAAGCCGTACAGTGTCCCGTCTTCTCAAAGCATTCCAGACCATTCCCATTTTCTTGAATTGTAATACCATGGTTTTTCACTTTCTGCTTCTTAAATTTTATCTCTTGTTGCACAGATGAGACCAGTCCTTCCACTGACAAATATATAACACTGTTTGCTCCTGCAAGAGAAAAGGGAAATGTCACGAGCATTTCTCTAAACAGGAAAACATGCCTTCACCACAGCAATACAGAGAAACCCTGTCTCAAAAAGCAAACAAGAAACCCTTTCTCTTCTGATCTCACTTTGACCAACATCACTTTTACTGTTTAGGACAGTGTTCAATGTCTGCTTAACCTATAATATTGCTACTAACCCTTTTTTATTTCAAGGTTTCACATTTATTTTTATGGTTCGGCAAATATACACATGCATTCATACACAAATAGACATGTCACACATACATACATACAAAGAAAACAGAGTAAAACTAAAATTGAGAATATAAGTAAAGATCATGGAAAGGTTCATTGTACCACCTGGCTAATTTTGTGTAGCTCTGGGATTTTAAACATAAGGACCTACATTTCTGCAACCAAACAAAGCTAACCTACACTGTGTATAAGTAGAAGCAATGGGGGCAAAGTGGGGATTCAGAACAATGGAACTCTGGGAAGGATGTGCTTATGAGGGAGAACCTCACAAGAGATTCAGATATGGGCAGAATCTCCACTTGAGAACAAATGCTGGGTTTCCCTTTCTAGTTATTAATGATATAGTTCATACCTTTTTTTTTTCCTGACTATATTATTTCCACATTGGGAAAAGATAAAAACAATGAAATAAAGTATGTAAAAATATTTTTGAAGGAAAATCATTACATATGATTTTTTATGTGTATGTATAACCGTAACTTTTGTAAGATATAAGGAGACTTTAATTAGGTATTACACACCTGAGGTCAGACTAATGGAAATGTACTTGCTATGAGCTAGTCATCTTAGTTTTCCACAAGGCAGTTCTGATACAAACACCAGTTCAACACTGTAATAGTCTAACATTACATAAAATGGCTTTCTATACAATTTTGGTAGATTATATAGCATGCCATAGTAAGTGTTTCCACTGTATATACAATTAAGGTTTTGTTGTGAAAACCTGAAAGTTCGTTATTCAAATGTTACAAATAATTTGTTGCTCGCGCACCAGTTCTGCCTATTTTGAACAGCCTTTTCTGACTCCCGCATTCAGATGTCAGTTTGCTGAGCCCTCCCTCTGCAGCGGACTCCATACTGTTAGGACGTCTCCTACGACATCCCAGTCACTGTCAGCATCTCAATCCATATCACTGTCCTCTTTCCTTTTGCAGCTTCCTCTATGGTTAGAACCTTGATTTTCAGTATTTGCTGAAGTTTCTGTTTCTTAATTAAATAACTTTCTTTCCACATTTCGCACAAATGTCAAATTCACAGTCACATGGTTTACATGTTACTGTCACTTGTGAACTTAACATACATACTTCCTAGGCTTTGGCAGTTGTTTGTATTTGCTGTTTTTTACACACCATCCAAATACTTCTTTGTGGCACTGAAATACTACATCATAAAGTTTTTGCATTAATTTTCTTGATGTGAACACTTTCATCAAAATTTCCTTTTTGAAGGTGAATGTATTCTGGTGCTTCTGAGGCCTGGACTAAGCCAGGGACCTCAACACCAAGTCATAAGCACCTTGCATGGGTGCAGCCTTTACGTTACAGGCTTTTAAAGAAGGAAAAAAAAAAAAAAAAAAAAAAAAAGACTTACTCTGTAGCCCTGGCTGGTGTGGAATTATGTAAATCAGGCTGACCTTGAACTCAAAGAAATCTGGCTGCCCGACTCTAGTGTTGGGATTAAAGATATCTTTATGTTTACGTTATTTCTAAAAAATCCTCTACCCTTTTGGTGCTATTGCGCATTGTACCTGTCTGTAGAGGCCCACGGTTACAGGTCCCAAAGTCTAGTTCATCAGCTTATTCTGTCTATACTATCTCCACATGCTCAACTGTGGAATTACAGAGGTATCAATGCCTACCCAGCATTTATGAACTCAACTCTGGCCCCAAAACTTGTTACAAGAACAATAATACTGAGCCATCTCCCAGCACTTGAATTTATCTTGCTACTATTTGCTGCTATACACAACAGTACATTTGAAATTTCAGTCAAACCAACAATTAAAATCTACAGAACCTCTAATACCTACCCAAGTATTCTGCAAGACATTCAAATTCTGGCTTATTGGCTATCAGCTCTTCCTTTGTGGGTATATTTATTCCCATGAAGCAAGGGTATTTTATTGGCGGTGAAGCAACTCGAATGTGCACCTTAAAAAGAAATCATTATATACTCACAGTAATATTTTCACCATTGATAAAACTGTCTTACTGAACATTCAATTAACATCATGAGCAACAAGGTAAACCATAAGTCACTTCATTGAATAGGTCAATTTTTTCACATAGTTATTCATTTTATGTTGTGTGTTAAGTTGTTTTGCCTACAAGTATGCCTGAGAACCATGTGTGTGCTCCATGCTCAGGTCAGAAAAGCTGGAGTTAGGAATAGTTATGAATCACCCTGTGGATGTTGGGAATCAAAGCTGAAGCCCTGCAAGGCAAACAGTGCTCTTAACCACTGAGCCATCTCTCCAACCTGTGTATATTCTTCTTAACAAGGAATTTTCATTCTCTGCATCTTTTACTTCCTAATTAATGACTCATCCGAGTCACCACTTTTGTTTTATTGGTACTTTGCTGATCTTTTATTTTAACATATTAAAAAGATATAAGCTACTAGGTTGTAATGAAAATCTTACTAATCACAACATGGCTACTTTGTCTACTATTGTCTTTGCCATTTCTGTTGGGTTCATTTACATGGTTATAACCAGTATCCACATTTTCTTTTTAATCTTAGATATTTTAGAACAATCTGCCTGCCTTAAGCAATCTTTACACAGATTTAAATGGCCATGACATATGTCCTCACACCAGCATGTCACTTTATATATTTAATCCATTTGCAAATTATGTGGCTATCACTTCCTCTTCACTACAGCAACAGATGCTGAGTTTATTACATCCTCTTGTTCCTACTGTATAATCTTCAAGGAGTTCACTGTGAGGCCATCAGAACATGACCACCATAAAAAAGCTGGAAAACCCTAATAATTCTTAAAATGTTCTAAGTATAGGCCATCCTTATTTCCTTTTATCCCACTTTTCAAGTCACTCAACTATTAAATACAAAGGACACCTTGCTTCTGTAATTTAAAGGACTGAAATGTTTAAAGTTAGAGTAAATTTTGAAATTTAAATAAATATACTTTGGAGATGGTGTAAATACTGCAATAATCTGACACACAAATTCTGTTTTTTTTCAAAGTGCAAGTTATTCTTATATTATTTTTAGTTTATTAAATGTGCAGTAACAAGATGTGTTGAATAGTTTTATGTCAACTTCAAGTTATTTGAAAGAAGGGAACCTCAATTAAGAAAATGCCTGCTTAGTTCTGGTTGGAGGCAGGCCTATAAGGTATTTTCTTAATTGGTGATTAATCCCTGGGCATGAAGTCCTGGGTTCTACAAGAAAGCACGCTGAGCAAGGAGCACCCCTCCATGGCCTCTGAATCAATTTCTGCCTCCAGGTTCCTGCCCTGTTAGAGTTACTGTCCTAACTTCCTTCAGTGATGAACATGGAGAAATAAGCCAAATAAACCCTTTCCTCTCCAACTTGCTTTTTGGTCACAGAAGTCTAAAGGAACAATATATAACATTAATTTGAAAAATATTACATTGTGAAAAATGTTTGGGCTTTTTTGTTGTTGTTCTTTTAAGATAGGATTATCAGCAGCCACAGCTGACCTTGAAGCCTTGATCCTCTGGCCTCTACCCTCAACGTGCTGGGATTATAGATATGTACCATCATGAGCAGCTAACAAATGTTTTAAAGACAGTATCTTACTCTGTAGCCTTGGCTGACCTGGAACTCGATATGTAACCAGGCTGGCCTTTAACTGGAAAAGATCGACCTGACTTTGCCATCAGTACTAGGATTGAAGGTATGCACCAACATATCCAGCCTCACAAATGTCCTTAATTAATAGCATATAAAATGTTGAAGCCGGACATTGGTGGTGCACGCCTTTAATCCCAACACTCCGGATGGATCTCTGTGATTTCAAGGCCAGCCTGGTCTACAGATCAAGTGCTAGGACAGGCTCCAAAGCAATATAGAGAAACCCTGTCTGGAAAAATCAAAACCAAAACAATAGCATATATAGCATATAAAATGTTGAAGCCTCTTTTAAATTGTATTTATTTACTTATGTGGGTGTACACACTTATGTAAACACATGGCACTGTACCGATGTGGAGGTCAAAGGACAACTTATGGGAATCTGCTTCCTCTCTACTATGTAGGTCCCAAGCACTGAAAGATCTACATAGTAAGTTCCAAGACAGGAAGCACAATCCAAAAAGAGAGAATGGCTGTGAATGTGCCTGGCCATTGTTTATATGTTCATGAATTTTCCCTTGCTGGTTTATAACCAATTAGCCTAAGACATGTGGCACTCAATCTATCCCAGCATGCCTTCCTTGTTAAGCTAAATCACTTCTAACAAAGTGAGTTTTTCAACCTTTCACTCAAGCTGTTCAAGGCCACTGTAACTTCTTTACTGGCCAGTTCCAATGCTGTGCTTTAGCGAGTAGAGAGGCCAAAGGAAAGGGAATAAGGGAAAGGATGTGCGAACAAACAACCTTCTTGATTAAGCTTGGCACCAAATTTAAAAGGCATAGTTCATGATGACTCAAAAACAATTTAGTAACTTTCAGTAATCTGTAAAAACCGCAATATATAATGTTCAATACAGTGAACCACATGAAAACAAGGCATGCCTGTAACATGCATTTAACACAGCACAAATGAGTACATACTCAGCAATTTTTAAAAAGTTCAATGTTTTATAGAAGATAAAGTGACACAAAACTAATTTAGTGGATTGTTTATCATATTAGGTATTGGTTCAGTATCTTCAAATAAAGAATACAACCAGTACTCTTGATTTTGTTGTTCGTCTTTTTTTTCTTATTAATTTAAAAAAAAAGGTTATGTTTCTTTCTTATATGTGTAGCTTTCTAATCTATTAAAGGTTAAACTTCCTATATAAGAGTAGTTAGTACAAGTTCTCCATATTGTTGCCCAGCTATCACAAAACAATCTGATATACAAAGTTAAATCACACTAACTTTTATTACAACATCATATGGTTAATTATTGGTGCTACAGCATATGTTTTAACACGACTTACCTCTTTTGCCCCGGATTCTTTGAGGAGTTTTATGATGGGTGAGATAGTATTGCCTCTCACAATTGAATCATCTATGAGGACAATTCTTTTACCTTTAAAGTTGTCAGACAACACACCAAATTTTTTTGCAACACCAAGCTGTCTTAACCTCATATTTGGCTGAATGAAGGTTCTCCCCACATAGCGGTTTTTACACAACACCTCCACATACGGTAGTCCACACTGGCGGAGGGAAAATCAATGTACAGTTAGTAGCAATACTGGGCTAAGAAGATCCATTCCTAAAGGTACCCGTCTCTATAAATATATGCACATTACTTCATTTAGAAGCTACACCACTAAATTCTGTGTAATATTCACGATGCCACCTTGCTTTTGGAGATGTGCTACACTATGTTGCCCAGGCTGGCCTCCAACTCATAGATCTAGCACTGAGATTGCAGGCCTGTACAACTGCAAGCAGATCCTAGCTTTTCAAAAAATGAGTAGGGCCACAGACTTTTGATGGGGATGTCCTTCTGTATGCTGTGAATATATGTTTCTCTTATTAGTTAATGAAGAAATCTGTTTTGGCCCCTAGACAGTCAGGATTTAGCCAGACACCGTGTGGTAGCTGGGAAGTCAAGAGGCCCAGGCATCATCGGTAAGCCAGGCTACTTGGAAATACACAGATTAATAGGAATGGGTTAATAATTAAGAGAGCTAGCCAATAGGAAGTCTAAGCCATTAGCTAAACAACTGTAACTGATAGTAAGTCCCAGAGTGGTTATTTCATGATGTGGCTACAGGGACCCAGTGGGTGGAGACAAAACCGGTCCAGTGGGACTAAGATAGATGGGGAAAGTTTCCTTTTACAGACTCTTAAGTAAGATGCCAAACCCTCTGGGTAACTCCATGAAGAAGAGTCAGAATAAGAGAAAGCAGGCTCCATCCCAAAGAAAGGAAGAAGTGCCATGGAAACCCACAAAGGCATTATTACAGCAATAGTCTAAGACGCTGAGAAAAGATGGGTTACGGAATGCATGTGGCAGCAAAGCACAAAGGAGAACTGCTTGGGGTGGGGGTGATGCCAGAGACTGCAAAGAAAAAGAGGAACGGCAGTGGGGAAGGGTGAGTAAGAATGGGGTAGGACTGCAAGCTTATGAAAATGTCACAGTGAAGCTCATTACTCTGTATGCTGCTAAAAATTAAAACTGAGCCAATATTCTAATCTGATTGAAACCTAGGTATTGTGTGTGCATGGACATGCACACCACAGAGCTCATATGGAGGTCAAGGGACAACACACTTGAGTCGGTTCTCTCTTTCCGTTGTGTGGGTCCTAGGAATCAAACTCATGTGGTCAGCCTTGGCAGCAAGAGCCTTTGCACACTAAGCAATCTTTTTGTTGAAAGAAATGGCTAATAATTCTTGCACAGGAATCAGCATGAGACTCCAACCTTTTCTTCTTACAATAAATTGGTGGATTTCCCCTTTGTACTCCATATTTATTTCACGGACAGAAGACAAAGGCGCCAAAGAATAATAAGTCAATACCTTAGCTGCATATCCAAGAGCAGCAGGCGTAGCTGACTCTGGAACCGTGCTAACCAAGTCTGCCTCCACAGGCGCTTCAATTGCCAGCTGCTGGCCACAGCGGTACCTTACAGTGTAAACCATTTGATCTGAATGTTTGGAAGAGAAAAATACGTTATTGTAAAAAGCTGGTGCTAGGACACTTTTCCTTTATTAAAAAATTATTTGTTACATTCCAATTTCAGTTCCCCCTCCCTTCCTCTCCTCCCACTTACCCCCCCTACCCTACCCTACCCTACCCTACCCATCTGCTCCATGGAGAGGGTAAGACCTCCCCTAGAAAGTCTACTAAGTCTATCCCATCATCTAGTTTAGGCAGGACCAAGTGGTACTAGGATTTTATAGACTGAACAACAACAACAACAAAAAAAAGTAATGTGTACAGAAACAATAAGGTAGAAGAACATGAACCAAGAGATTCAATAATGCTGTATTTATAAAACAATAAGGTAGAAGAACATGAACCAAGAGATTCAATAATGCTGTATTTATAAAATTTCACCTCAAAATGTATTTGAAATGAAAACAGCATCCAAGAATTGAAAAGAAGGGCAATTATGATTTGTAGCACAGTGACACACTCACAGCATATAGCAGCAGGCCTCCAAGAGCCACAAAAGCCCTTGGGCCTTCGCTTCAATGAGATGAGTGAGATTTATACAAATAGTCAAAGAAAAGAAACATACTTACCTTCAAATATACTATCTGGTCTTGCGAAATAAACATATTCGAAGATACAAAAAGCCACTGGGTCTCCTTCAGACCTTGGAATCGTATCAAGAGTTCTGATGCCATGTCTGGATATTTCTACAATTTCTCCAGGCTTCACTTCATGGGAATATCTTAGAACAAACAACAAACAAACAGAAGACATTTGTGAAATCTATCATTTTACACAATGAATACTTGCTAATTTTTGAAAGGCAAAAGACTCTGTAACTCTTACATTTTAAGAGCAGCAGGAACTTACATTTTATCGATTAAAAAAAATAAAAAGGTCAGTAAGTACTCTCATTCATGTGCCCACTATCAAATCTTGACAGTATACACACTATAATCTATATTAGCACTTCACTCTGAAAGTTACTGTGTGCTTTTTGAGAAGTAAAGAGATTATTTTAATTAATTCTTTTTGATACTTCTTTTTTTTTTTTGGAGACAGGATTTCTCTGTCAGCCCTGACTGTCCTGGAACTCACATTGTAGATAGACCAGGATGGCCTTGAACTTACAGAGATCTGCCTGCCTGTGTCTCCCAATGGCTGGGATTAAAGCTGTGCACCACCATGCCTAGTTTACTTAATTCTTAATAGCATGACTTAAAGAGCTGTAGGTTAAGGACAGTTGCTTCCAAGACTGAGGACTGAGCTTGATTGCTGGAGTCCACATGATAGAAGGAGAGAGCTGACTCTCACAAGTTGTCCTCTGATCTCTCTCCACAGGTACCCCATGACACACACACCCCTCCACAACACAAAATAAAGGAATGTAAAACAAACAAACAAGAAACCTCTCCCCAGGCTGCTTCTCAGGTCCTGGGATTATATTGCACCCAGCTTTCACTTGGGTGTTGGGATCCAAACTCAGGTCCATGTGGTTGAGCAGCACACACTTTACAGACTGAGCCCTCTCCCAGCCCAAGTTCCTACTTTGTAAAGTTAAGTCTTTTGACAGCAAGGTGGCTCAGTGGGTAGAGATGCTTGCTGCTAAACCTAAAGACTGGATCTGTAGGACCCACAGGGTGGGAAAAGAGAACTGACCCTGCATGTTATCTCCTGACCCCCATATGTATCCATCCCTTCCCACCCAAATAAATACACGTAATTATAAAATAAACAAACTAAATTGTGTCTCAACCTGCAGTCCCAGCTCAGGAGGCGAAGGAGAATTGCCACAGGCTCCATGGTGGCCTGGGTTAGTAAGAGACCAGGAATCAAAAACAAACACACCCATACTAAAAGAAAATCAAGGGAGACTTGGGGCATTTTGAAAGACAGTACTTTTAGAACCAGAAAGTAGTAATGGGTCATTAAAGTCAGCAAGCACAATTGCTACAGACACTATTCACAAAGCCTTCTTACAGCAAAGGAATTGGTCATGGAAATAGAAAAACATCTGCCACCTCCTTTTAAAAATGATAATCCCCAGCTGGGCAGTGGTGGTACACACCTTTGATCCCAACACTTGGGTGGAAGAAGCAAACCAATCTCTGAGTTCAAGGTCAGCCTGGTCTATAGAGAGAGTTCTAGGACAGGCTCCAAAACAATACAGAGAAACTCTGTCTCAAAAAACAAACAAAAAAAAAAAAAGATAATCCCCAAACTCTTTTTTGGGGGTGGGGTGTTTGGAGACAAGAGTTCCCTGTATAGCCTTGGCTGTCCTGGAACTTGCTCAAAGCAGGCTGGGCTTGAACTCAGAGAGATCAGCCTATCTCTGTCTCCCCAGTGCTGCCACCAACTGGCCACACACTCTCATTTCTTTACCTTTTATTTTTTGGATACTGAACTCAAGGTTCAAATGATGCTCTCTCTTTAACCACCCATTTGCCAGTCCTGAACTTATTAGTCCAGGACTAATGCCCGAATGAAAAAGTTCCGTTCTTTCCTTTCCCTCTTCCCCCATTCTTTCCATCCCCCCGCCCCAAGTTTTGTTTGTGTTTGAGGGGTAGGGTGAGAGACAGATGTCAATAAATAGAACTCAGGTTTTTTTCTTATGCTTATCAACCTGCCTCAGTCCTCTGGAAGTTAGGACCACAGCCGTGTATCATCAAATCTAGAAGAAAAATGTTTCTCAATAAATGTAGAAAAAAAATTATGAAGGGATAGAACTTACCTTGCACCAATAGATAAAAAGCTGCAAGATTCAGAAGATACCACCCAGCCTTCAGTTTCTGAAGATTTTTTCTCTGTAAACCACAAATCATTTTAGTGAATGGGTTCAGGAAATTTTGGGTTTTTTTATATGGTGTCCCCAGGGACAGAAGTCAAGAATCTTGCACATCCCAGGCAAGCACTGTTTAATTAGTCAATTACATCCCCAGTCCCCACAAGAAATTTTTTTAAAAGAGGCTTTCAGGCCAGTTAGACAGCTCACTGAACAACAGTGATTTTTGTCAGGTCTCACAACTGGAGTTCCATCCCTGGGAACTATGTGGCCCAGGAGAACAAACTCCCACGTTTGAGATTCTGTGACCTCTGCATGCCACTGTCATTCATGTGCATTCAAACACAAAGATGTAAAAGAATTTTTAGAAAGAAATTATTTCATGAGAATAATTAAACATCAAATAGGTAAAAGCTGCCATTATTATCACATTAAAAGCAGATGGTTCCAGTATAAGACAATAAATAATCCAAGATTCCTTCTAGCATTATATATTGATTTGAAGTAGACAGACTATAAGTCATAAAGGGAAAAAAAAATCACTGCAGAAATAAGGTTAGTTAGGCAAAAGATATGAACTGGCAATTCATAAAAAAACAAGGATATAGTATTAAATGCACTGAAAAGTCAGACACAGCCAAAAAAATACACTTTAAAAACTAAGACAAGGAGGTAGCAAGATGGCTCGGTGATTAAAGTGCTTGCTATGCAAACATGAGGGTCTGAGTTTGGATCCCAGCCGAGCATGCCAGCAGTCACCTGTAACCCCACCTGTGGGGGAGACCCACAGACCTCACTGGCCAGTCACCCTAGCTGAAAACAGTGAGCTCCAGTTTCAGGGAGTTGCTGTCTCAAAAAGTAAAGTAGAAAGCAAAAGAAGATGATAATTGAAGTCAACACATGCACAGGCAGGCACACCCACACGCATGCATATGTGTGTATACCTCCACCCCATGCACATATGCTCAAAAAACACCAACAGCTAGGGCTGGAGCGATTGCTGTGAAACCCTGAGGACCAGAGTTCAAATCCCAGCACCCACAAAGTAAGCCTGGCACCCTGCACAGGAATAGGTCGACAGTGATAAAGGACATCACCAGACACAACCACTTCCTGCCTCCACAAACAGCAGTGGGGCATACATCCACCTACAAAGTACCTAGACACTCACATCAACTTCAAAAAGGAAATAAAGATACTGTGTTTTCCTTCCTTCCCCTCTTCCTATGCATAGGCTCCCTATAACCACAGATTTGGGAGCTCATAAAAAGAAAAGGGGGAGAAAAGGGAAGACTCACCAAGAGAAACAATGATTTTGAAAAGTATCATAAAAAATAAAAGCCTACCGAAGCTCGTTTATTTTATTTTATTTTTTTCCTTTTCTTTTCTTTTTTGATTTTAGAGGCAGAGTTTCTCTGCTTTGGAGCCTGTCCTCCAAACTCACTCTGTAGACCAGGCTGGCCTTGAACTCACAGAGATCTGCCTACCTCTGCCTCCCAAGTGCTGGGATTAAAAGCATGTGCCACCAACACCTGGCGGAAGCTCATTACCTTTGTGATGTATGTCAGAAACTGGAATAAGACGTCCGATGCACAGAGGACGATTTCCATACGGATCCCGCACTGCATAAATGACGTCCCTGTGCATTATAAGCAAGGAGTAAGCTGTGGGCGCTTCCTTCATTAAGTTCTTAATTCTGGAATTACAAGAAGCAAAAATCAATCTCTGGCTAAAAACACACTGGACAAGTAAAGCTCTCACAGCTGGAGCAGTGACCATAGCCTACCCACACAATTACCTTGCCACCCAGTCTGGGGTATCATCTCGTTCCTGAGGAGGGGTGTATGCAAGTAACTGGGTAATCATTTCACTATCGGAGGATGTGGAAAGCCCAATACCGTGGCGCAGAAGCTATAGGAGAGAAAAGTTTCATCATTAGATCACTAGATGCTCCACCTCTTGTCCAACAGCACACAGTAATTAATAGTAACCAGGCATTCTACAGATATTAAGTTACAACCCAGTAACTTCGTGTGTACACTTATGACGGGAGACTACTGCTGGGAACATTGGGAAGCCTCCAAAGGTAGGCAGGGAGAAGTACTTTAACAGGTACCGAGCAATAAAGCCTGAGTGAAGTAAAAGAGCAAAGGGCTTGAACTGTGTGCAGCCTTTTCTACCCTCCATAATACTGATAGAGCATACCCCTTCCTAAAAAGCAGCGAACTGCACCAATGACTCTCAAACCACATGTGTTGGTGGCAGAAATGAATATCTATCTGTACTTCTGACCATTGACAGAGAACAGGAATCAACATTTGGAATGATGGAATGTAGGAGATAGTTAATAAACATTGGTTGAGTATACCTTATCATCACAGTTCTGAATAGGACTGACAAGAGGCTATACCACAAACACTTTTGTACAGATTAACTTAGGTGGACGCTAAAACACATTTTTTCAATAAATAGCTACATGTTTAATATAAAGTCTAATACCTGGATAAGAGGCTAGGTCTGGAAACAATGAGCTATATATTGCTTAGAATTGCATTCTTGGGGGTTGGAGAGGTAGCTCACATTAAAAGCAGATGGTTCCAGTATAAGACAATAAATAATCCAAGATTCCTTCTAGCATTATATATTGATTTGAAGTAGACAGACCATAAGTCATAAAGGAAAAAAAAAAAAAAATCACTGCAGAAATAAGGTTAGTTAGGCAAAAGATATGAACTGGCAATTCATAAAAAAACAAGGATATAGTATTAAATGCACTGAAAAGTCAGACACAGCCAAAAAAATACACTTTAAAAACTAAGACAAGGAGGTAGCAAGATGGCTCGGTGATTAAAGTGCTTGCTATGCAAACATGAGGGTCTGAGTTTGGATCCCAGCCGAGCATGCCAGCAGTCACCTGTAACCCCACCTGTGGGGGAGACCCACAGACCTCACTGGCCAGTCACCCTAGCTGAAAACAGTGAGCTCCAGTTTCAGGGAGTTGCTGTCTCAAAAAGAATACTGACTGCTCTTTCAGATCTCCTGAGTTCAATTTCCAACTCCTGGCAGCCACATGATGGCTCACAACCATCTACAATGATATGATGCCCTCTGCTGGGATGCAGGCATTCAATTGGACAGACACTGTATACATAATAAACAAATAATCTTTTTTTTAAAGTAAAACATGGAATCCCCAAGGTTCCTGCCCTTACTGAGTCTGCCTGAACAGTAAGTTCATTGTAATTACTTCCAATTATCTCTTTCTCATGACTGACAGCTGTCAGACATTCCTAAGACTGGCCAGTGTAGCAGTTACCAAAGAGCTACCTTGTATTTGCCCAAGGACAGCAGAATCAGAAGCCAGAAACCAGCTACAAAACTGCTGCTGTTATCTTGGTGGCCCCCAGATACGGCAGGGCTGCTTGGAACACTGTTGTGTCACCTGATATGCAGTGCCTGGTGTTTCCTGGGGAAGATGACAGCCACAACTTCAGCTTTTATCATTTTCAGGGAAATCCTGAGAGCTGTCAAATAAATGGGCCAGGACAACTGCAGGGAGACTCGGGCCAACAGTGGACCCCACAGAGACTTAGTTCAGTGGGGGAAGAGGGTGCACCCCAATTATCAAGAACCCTCAAAAGTTACTATGGCCATGACAGCTTCAGATAACCTTTACACAATCCAGTCTGCATGCAGCCCACATCCCCCAGCCATCCAGATAATCTCCAGATCTATTCACAGTTGTCGTCATCGCCACAGAGGCAGTAAATCTCTGAACCAAGTCAGCTAGTCCACATACATAAGCAAGGCTCCTCCCAGCTCCTGGACATCTGCCTGGGATACTTCCTTCCTGTCCACTGCCTCCATGCTGTAGCATTAGTTAGCTCATTTAATTAGTTTTACTGCCTACTTAGGGTCTTTCATTATGGAGCCAGTAGGCTGAGCGGGCTGTGCAAGGGAACAGGTGGTTCATGGCTTCCTTATCCCAGGAACACCCAGTAACAGCTAGAAGAAGGCTAAGGAGTTTAAGAGGTGGACAGGGCCACAGGTTATACAAAGACTCCAGAGAATTATAAAGAACTGTGAGAAAGGGCTGGAGAGACGGCTTGCCTAAACTCCAGCACCTAGGCGGTGATGCACTCTTCTGGTCTCCAGACAGAGACCGTCATGTATGTACACGGCACAAAACATACATTCAGACCAACAGATACACACAAAACAAAAACAACTGGAAAGCACTTCGAGGGTGAGAGACAGCAGAGAGCTGTGAAGTGCCGGATGACTAACTGCTGGAAGGGTTCCAAAATCCTGCCAAAAAAAGTCACCCGCTCTGCTACCCAACACCCTGAGCTCAGGGCTGTAACTCTAGATGCTGGGTCACTGGAATGTAAAGTCCAGAGTGGTAACACTGACAGCAGAGGGCCATGACACCAAAGGCTCCGCACTGTTAACACTAAGGAAGCTGTACTTTGTATCTTCATGTCTGAATTCTACATGAATAGAACAGAGGAACCCTCAGCTTAAACAAAACCAACAGTGTTTAATTTGTAGCATGAAATGCAAACTTCATGCAGACCTGGTTGCACCTCATTACCTGCAAACACTACAGAATCTGAAAGACTGTAACCTAGGCATTCTGTCAGAGTCTAAACTCCAATTTCTTCGAGCACTTTCATGATACTGCTCAGATAGGGAAAAAGCTCGCAAAACCAAACTCTGCAGGTGCTGCTTAGCTCCCTTAAAAACACTGGTGCAGGACTGAAGACACAGCTCAGTGACATAGTATTTGCCCAGCACACGTAGGGTCTTGGGTTCAACCATAAACAAACAAAAGCCACTTAAAATCCTCTTTCTAGTCTTACAGTAACAAACACAATGTAAACTATTGACAGGTTCTTTGAGGACTAACAAGGATGAAGGTTATACATGTTCACAACAGGCATTTTCTTTTTACTCTAAATATCTTTTATCTACACTTGAGAGCCAAAAAGCCAAATGCACATTGATTTCAGCCTAATCTTTCCTGCACACAATCCCAAACTGCCTGACCGCCAAAGTAAATACATTTTGCACAATAATAATATAATGACATGTCTGGCAGTTAGATACTCCTTGACAACTTCAGCATATAGGGTAGCTACTATGGAAACCAATGATGTGATTAGAGGGCCACATTCAGTCTTAGACCAGACCTCCATGGAGGGAACAGATGTAGAAGGTCAGGTTGACCTCCAAGGCCATTCCACAAAAACTAAAAGGACTTCTGGTTGGCTGAGTACAAACAGAAGTGCCTGGAGAGTGGTTTCCAGAAAGCAATAAGGCCCCATGCCTCCTCCCACAAATCCTGCTATCCTCACCTCTTCCCCTGTCCAGTATCCTTCATAATGTCTCTTAAAATAAATCAATATTTTAATCATAAATTAAGCATTTTTTTTGAGGTCCATGAGTCACTCCTTTACCAAATGGAATCAAGGAGGGGATTGGGAACTCTGTTTACAGCCTGTAGGACCTAAGTGCTCAGGACCTAGACTTGGAGCAGGCATCTGAACTGAGAGAGTCTCATGAGGATGATCCCTTAACATATGGGGACCTACAGGCCACCAACTGGCTGGTTTGAGAAAACCCCACATTCGGTCATGACAATATGCTGTGCTGAATTTGGACACAGGGCGCAATGGCTCGGTTTTCCCCTCTCACAAACTTTGAACATAGGACAAAGCTATAAGGGGATGTTATAGTAATTCCTCATGCTGCTCACATCAACCATAAATCAACATTCCAAACCACAGCACTGAAGTGGCCTTGCTTCCAGTGCCTGGGGAGTACAAGAATCTGGATTTAGAGCAAGCACGCCAGGCAATTCTGATGCAAAGGCTTCTCGAACCAAGGTAACAAGTGGCAATAATTAGAAGATGCCCTTTTGTTGGGTGTTAATGAGCGGGGTGGGGGAGGGCGCACCCCAACTCACCTTTTTCCTTAGGCGAGCTGCGTTTACCAGTTCACCATTATGTGCCACAGCTATTTTCCCATGAAGAGTTTCAACAACAAATGGCTGGCAGTTTTCCAGCTCACACTTTCCCGTCGTGGCGTATCTCGTATGCCCAATTCCAAGATTTGAGACATATAATTTCTTCAAATTGTCTTCAGTAAAAACATGATTTACAAGACCCATTCCCTTGGGAAGTCAAAGTAAAAGTAGTCGTTAGGAAAAACTAGTAGTGCTAGTAACAAGACTATGTTCAGGCAATCCAAACTAGACAGTGTTTCATGTTCTTCTCTGTGTGCCAGAAACTGGATGAACTTAATTTTTAAACCAGACGCTGGATTTCCACATTGAATTCATTTTGAAGTGAGCAATAGTGTTTGGATTGCCGCAGCATTGAGATACTTCTTAATTAGGAAATGTAAGGACACATAGTCAGCAATAGGATTTTATTACTAGGCAATGATAGCTGTCAAATATTAACTGAAATTAGCATTAGAAAAAGTTATTTCTAAAAATATTTAAATAGATGACACGCCCCCATCCGCCCCCCCCACCCCCCCACCCCCCACCCCCGCTTGAATGATCAGGTCTAGCAAAAAAGATCACTGGGAAAGAAATATATCCTAAATTGACAAATATGAGGACACAAGGTTGGAGTAGCCTGATCCAATTGCTTCCAGTTGTAATTTTATTCAAATCCCCACACTTTATTTATTTACTTACTAACAAGACCATACTGTGTAACTCAGTCTGTCCTGAAACTCGATATGTACAAAAAAAAAACTGGCCTCAAACTCAGAGATCCACCTGCTTCTGCATCTCAAGTGCTGGTGTTAAAGATATGCACCACTGTGCCTAGCCCCCACCCCAGATAATAATGACCAGATGGCAAAGGTTACCTCTAATATCATCAGTGTTTTTAATGCTCAGTCTTACCTTATGCACCTTGAATGTAGGCACTGAACTCCCATCACTGGTGACAATACCAGCACTTTCCTGACCCCTGTAAAGACATAAATGGATCATCTGTTAAATCAGTCAGCTTAATGGGATAACAGGTGCTGTCAGTACACATAGCACGCCTCCAAAATACAGGTGTGCATTTTGTCATTTGTTTTTCACATTTTCCGAACTTTCTCCAACCAGTACCCTCCTTCCCCCATTTGTTTGGCAACAGGATCTCTCTATGTAGTCCTGGCTGTTCTGGAGCTTGCTATGTATGCCAGGGTGGCCTCTAACTAAGAGAGTGAATGAATACTGAATTAAAGGTGCCTACCATCACCCCAACATGAAACAATGGTCTCTAAGTTAGTATTACAGTAAAAATGTAACTTATTTTTATTTTCTATGAATGGATGTTTTGCCTGCATCTATGTGTGTGTACCACATGGATGTCTGGTGTGCCCCCCCCCCCAGGCTAGAAGAGGGTGTCAGATCCCCTGGAACTGGAGCCACAGGCATTTGTGAGCTGAAATGTGGATGCTGGGAAGAGAACCTGGGTCTTTCCCTTGCAACAAGTGTCCTTAACCAATAAGCTATCACTTCAGCACAAAATGTAATGCTTTTAAAATGTATAGTTATTAGTATTAACTACAAACCTTAAAAAAAAAAGCAAAATTGCTGCCAACCATTTAGGTAATTTAAAAAAACAAAACAACAACAAAAACACTTTTAGTGAAGCCAAAAATTATATAAGGAAAGAAATACATCAAAAATAGTTTTCATTCCCTTTGCCAAGGATAAGTTTCCCCTAAAGCCCAAACAGTAAGATTAGCAATCATTTAGGTCCAGGGTTCTTTAACCAGCAAGCATGCTTATTTGGCAGATACTCAAGTTACTCCCTTAAGCAGCTTGAACCAGTTAAACTACATCCTTTCCCGCTCTCAGGAGCTTATTGACAACCAGCCCTCTGGTTTCCTAGGAAACAAAATGTTAGCTAGAAACAGCGAATCATTTCATCACTTTCAGCATGGAGCTGGAAAGCACTGGACTGAGGAGTTTAAAGCTTTACTCAATGTCTAGGCAGACAGAAATATATGATAACAACTTTATGGAACCTTGAGAAATAAAGAAATATTTATTTACAATGCCAAAAGGCTGCATGCAGTCGCTAGGAGTATACAGAGATTGGAAACAGTGTCCTGCAAACTATAAAACTTTCAAGTATGACTACAGAACAATTAAGTATGCCCACAACTTAGGAGACAGCTCTAGAACTGTGAAATTCTCCATGATTTGGATGCAATCCTGCAGTATGAGCCTATCATGCAATAAACAGAGAAGGATGGCAACAGCAGGTACCTGGCAACCCTGAGCTCAAGCACTGCCCCAGAGATCACTGAAGGTAAAAAGAAAAATGCTATTCTTTTGTCTTTCACTTCATTTACAATTTCTGAGTACATGTGATAAATATAACCCGAAATATCAAGTTAAAAAAAAGTTCAAAATACCATTTTGCACAAGGTAATGAATTTCAAAAGAAGGTTCAATACCATCACTTCTTCACATTAGAATGGAACTAATTGTTGTGCCAACTGTGATTGACGTGGCTCTGAAGTATGGATAGGTTTGAAAGATACTTTCCGACTTCAAAAATGCAGTCCAGTTAGGCAGGCGTTGGTGGTGCACGCCTTTAAACCTAGCACTTGGGAGGCGTAGGCAGAGGCAGGCTGATCTCTGAGTTCAAGGTCTACAGGACAAGCTCCAAACAAGACAGAAAATCTTAATAATACTCCCACCTTCCTAAGTATATAAAAATGAAGGCACTATAGATCCCCCAGGAATGAGGGTTCCTCCAGAAAACTGAATGCTAGGAATGAAAACAGGTTGGCTGCAGGAGCCTTGGACACCAGAATACACCCACCTACTGGGACAAAGGTAACGTAAGTTTATTTCACTTTTCAATCAGTTGAGTCAGTGCTGCAGGAAGAAGGGTCAAAAGTCTGAAATTTCTCTCTAGCTTTGGTCAAAACTTAACTCAGCTGCTTCCCATTTCTCTGGGTACTATGTCAGGACAAGCATCTGCACGTATGGTCAGGCTCTATGGCTAGAGATCCAGTAGTAGAACTTGGTGAACCAGGAAGGGATGGGATCTGGTGCCACCTCTCAGATAGGATGTTTCTAGAAGCTGCTATGAAATTTCATCTTTTCCCCATTAGCCAGTGTCAGTAGCCCTTTGCCACCTGTTTAAGGAAAAACTAACTTCTAAAACCTATCAACTCCAATTTACCTCTCTCCGTCTCCACGGCTCCCACACTTACCTACCTACTCACCTTATGCACTTCTGAGGAATGAAAGCCTTGGACTTGCTGGGCAAGCGCTACCACTGAGCTACATCCTTACTCACACCTCTAGTCCTTTCCCAGTTAAACTTTTGCCAGTGGGACACACTTACTTATAATATGAAACAATTCCTCTCACCCCATGCTAAGAATTGAAGGCTTCACCCCTAACCCTACAGCTGATACTTTTATACTTAATTACTAGCTAGCAGTGTGCAACATCTTTAGATTTACTCCTATAAATTGCCTGCTCATGTCAGTGACATCTCACAAAGCCTCGTGTTCTCATAACTGAAATCAGTCTGGACCATATTCCAACAGTGGCCAAGAGTCCACTAGCCTCTTTCTGTCCTCTGATTGATTGATCCTTTTTTTTTTTTTTTTTTTTTTTTGAGACGGTTTTTTCTATGTAGTCCTAGCCATCCTAGAACTTGCAAACTTGCTCTCTAGACCAGGATGGCCTTGAACTCAGATCCCCCTTGCACCTGCTACCACTACCTGGCCCTAAAGCACAATTTTACATCTAAATCTGGAATATTCCTTACCTGCAACATAGCCTCAATTATTCAAGAAACCTAATTTTAAAGTTTTAGTGCTGAAAGTTTAAATGTGGAGATACTGGTTTTTCTCCTTCTACCTCGTGGGTCTGGAGCATCAAGCTGTCATCAGGCTTGGTGGCAAATGTCTTTCTTTACCCTCTGGGCCATCTTACCAGCCCTTATGCGCATGACTATTATGTGCTAAAATGTTTCCAAATCTACAGGAATTATCAGTTCTCTCCTCCTTAGCTCAGCAGGGAGGAACCGGCTCCCTTCTAAGCAAAACTGTTGGTGCCATCAGAACACAGGGACGATATCTCATGGCTCTGGCTGAACATCTCTTGTATCAGACAGACTGGACTAGGTATGGAACAACAGGCCAAAGCATAATGAAACCCATCTACTTTCAGATTTTTTTTTCTCTTGATAGAGACTTAGGATTAATGATTTCTCCCTCTTTTACTCACCTAAACTGAAAAAAGAATCATTTTAAGTCACTCGATTCATAAAACACAGGTTTCCTAGAAATTCTGCTTTGTGGGTTCCAAGCTCTACTCTTTAAATCAGGAGATAAATGTCAGAGCTAAGCTTATACACAATAATGAACAAGCCCATAGCTCTCTGGGGGTCTAATGAGACAAATGTACACCTGAAAGGAAATCCACAGTACAGCCATGGATCTTTTAATGAATTTCAGTCCTCTGTATCTTAAAAGATCAGCTAATATGTATTATCCCATCCCATGCGGGAAAGTGACTTAATACTGTATCTGCTTATGTATCTTGTCTGATGTATGCAATCCATGTATGTTCTCTCTCCAGCAGATGCAGGTATCTGCACATCAATAATAGATGCCCCCAGTTATTCAACTTTTATCCTAATGATATCAAATGAAGGAAGAAAACACTGGACTACATACAGCAGAAGTCAGGGTTCTAATAGGCCTCTGGTCAGAAAATAATAATAATAATAACTACGGGGAACCGTGACAAATAAAAAGATATTTGAACAAAGCCCAAAAATCTAAAACATGAATATAAGACTGTAAGGCATGACTAAGAATGTGAGATTTTTCATTGAGCTGAGTCCTGTTCTGGGAAATAACGGTACCTTTAACATTTTGTCACATGATCAAGGGAGCCAGCTGCATAAGATGATGACAGCCTGAGTTAATGGGTTCATTAAATTGTATTGATTTAAATTATTATTCTGTGTATACAATGCATGGGTTATAATGCACAGGTGGATGTCAGACAACAGTTCTAAGGAATCTGCATTCTCTTTCCATCTTTACAAGGGTGCCAGAAGGTGAATTTAGGTTGCCAGGCTTACATACCACTCACCCACTGAACCATGTCATTATTTAATTAACTAGTTGCTGAGTTGATAATGAAATGGAGTTAATGCATAGTTGTTCTCCTCTAAAGTGGGAAAAAAAAATCACATAAACAAAGTAGGAATTTTCAGAACAAATCTTAAAATCTATAAAAATTTTCAAAAAGTCTATATAAAATTTCAGATCATAAAAGTTAAGGTAAGCTTTCATACCAACTGCATAACACAGCAAATCTAAAAATGGCACTGAAGGAATCCTTGGAGGTGGGCAAGTCTTCTGCAAAATATAAATTCAGCCCTTTAAAAATCAATGTAGCTAAAAAGACAGAGCCACAGTGCACACACAGGTAGCACAAGATGGCCTGGATGAGTCCTGCACTAGCAATCAGGAAGCCAACTTTTAAGTCAGTCTCTTAGAAGATGGTTGGAACCCGAAGCAGTCAAGTTTAGACTGTTGCCTAAAATGGGAGGCTTGAGTAAGGTGGTCCTGAAGACCTCTACTGTGAGACAGAAACGATGCAACCCTAACTGTGTGGAAAAGCAGTTAAGACTGGAACTTTCAAGGAAGTAGAAAACAAACATAGTATGTTAGCTATTTATGCAGCTATTCACATTAAAAAGAAGATGTTTACTGACAAGTTTGACCACAGGCAGTATAGTGATAATGTCATTGCTGAAAGGGGCAGACGGAGACTATGTCAGAAGACTTAGAAATTTACACATAATCAATATCTACTAATAACCTTAGGCAAAATGATGCTTCAAGGTGAGGAACCTAAAAGCAAACTATCACATTGATTATAGAAATTATGAAAGGCAATAAAGAAATAAAACACTACATATCTCCT